GTAAATTCATTGAATAAATATTTCCAACTTTAATATAATTTTGAATAAACACACAAATATGGCTATAAGATCATCAGCATTAGATCAGCGTTTAATCGATTACATAAATATTACATCACTGATAAAGGCAGTAAAATGAAAGTGGAATGTACAAAAAATGTCTTGATATCAACACAAAATTTTATAGTTTAACTTAAAAGTCTTAAAGTAGTATTTATCATGGACTGACATCAGTTGGGGAACCATTGAAAACCTGAGATCACTGAACAGCTGTTTCGTCGTAGTATGAGACTCCTCAGCAGCACGCATCCACAACTCAGCTGGGGAGCGAACTCAGGACCTTCAGACTTCATGGCAAACGCACCAACTATCCTGCCACTGGATCAGATTCCAATGGTTTATAGTTTCCAGGAAGTTAAATCATTACTAAATGAGTAATTTCCGTCACAGAACACTGTTGAATTAAGAAATAATAAAAACTAGGGTCCAGTAAACAACTTTTTTGTTCCCAACCATGGCTACTCCAGAAATAAGCACCTGGGGCTCTTTCACCAACCTACCTAGGCAACATCCTTTCTACTACATGTGTTGGCGGCACAGATGAGGATGTCAAAGCCAGCCAGGATCAGAAAGGCAGCAAGACAGGACTTCCTGCATTAATCTGAAATCAGTGTGGAGATCTACTGCACTACACTGTACTCAGCGTAAAGCGTGAAAATCATCCGGATTTTCAACACCAATATCTGTCAAGTCAGTGCTTCCATGTGACAGATGGTTGAGGGACTTTGTGCTTCACGAAGAGCATTTCGAACAAACTACAAACATCGTACATGAACAGCTGCCGCCTACACTCACTCGATACTGAAACTGAAGATCAGATGAGATGGGCAGAATAATAAGAATAAGCAACAAGGAACTCTGGCTGACTGACTGGCAACAAAGGAACCAGGAACCTATCACCCAAGGATTATGCAGAAGGAAGTGGAGATGAATTGGGCATGCACTGAGGATACCTATTTGGGACATCACTTGCCATGCCAGGCTGTCGAGTGGAACGTACATGGGAAACGATGGGTTGGGTGTCCGAGGGTGACATTGAGATAGTGTAAGGAAGAAACGAAGGCTTCTGGGCAGACGTTGAGCCAGGTTGAAAAGACTATAGAGAATAGAGTGAAATGGAGACGTGTAACTGAGGTCCTGTGTTCCACTAGGAACCCAAGCGACAAATAATAGTAATAATACTCCATATAGTCTCGACTCAAGACAATTAGGTCTCTTGGTAACGTTTCCGCTGAGTCAATAGGTTGTAGCCAGTTAGTTCACATTTTCCATCTTCTATCTATCCATAAGATATTACTTATTCAGACTTCACTTAGGAAACAATTATAAAATTGGCTATCTGAGATTTCCATGGTTTGGGAAATTTACATTATTGTTGCTGAGGGATGATTGAAGATGAAATAATAGATCGATCGGTAGGAGCGCTCAAACCGGCGACTTCAAGGCTGTCGGCACGGTGCTCTACTAACTGAGCTACAAGATAGTTACCCATCAAGAATTCACATGGCAGTTGGGCAAAACCGTTAGTGACTGAAGTGAACTTAGGATCTGGTACGTAGCTTGGTATCTTAGCTCAGTTGGTTGAGCACCAAGTCGGTAACCTGCAGGTCGCTTGTTCAAATCCTACCGCGGTTAAGAAAAAAAATGTTAGGTGTGGAAAGATAACGGTAAGGAGCATATTGTTGGTCTGAAACCTGTTTTATTTAACTGGATGTTACTTAAATTTACATTGATATATGATGAAACAAAGCAAAACAATCTTTAATCTACCATCTTATCAAGATATGTTTCCATTTTATACTTGATGACATTCAGTCTAAGATCAACCAATAAATCCCCACAAGCGGAATCATTCCAGCACTAATTGATGACTGGCTCTGAGAGGTGATCCCCGAAGTTTCAATGAGAAGTCGTGACCGATGGGGTCCACTCAAGTAGAACATGAAGAAAGTTATTGAACGGCATCAGTGGATGGAGGTCATGGCATACTGCGAACTAACAGAACTAGAAAATACGGACCAATGGATCCGGATCCAGTGGCACAATGGTAACGTTCTGCCTGGAAAAGCTGAACGTCCTGGGTTTGACCTTTAGAGGGCGGGATCATAGGTGCGCGCTGCTGAGGAGTCCCATACCAGGATGAAACATGTGTCCAGTGTCCCAAATGTTTCACCAACTGATGTTAGTCTAAGATGAATACCAACGTGAAATCAATAAATAAATCCACATAGTAGGATAGCGAACTGCAGCACAGTAAACTCAACCCTTAATAAACAATCGGACATCACAGCAGCGCCATAGATAGTGTAAGTCAGATGAACGTTTTGTATGTATGGAGAGATTTCGTGGACCACTGATTCATCAGGGCTGGTATCCAAGTAAATGAAGTGTTCAACGTGCTCAACCATTTCACTCCGTCGTTAGACAAAGCACCAAGACAGACCAGTTCTGGAGCCATAATTTGCATTTGGGTGGTGAGAGATCCACTTCAAAAATTCTTGATTTGTCACTCCAAGTCTCTGCATCTTCACCTAATAGGGCTGTCACTGGGTACTCTAGACATACCAAGTTTTCCGTGATTAGATCAGTCTCTGTAGACATCTAGAGGAAGGTCTCCAAGACAGAACTAAATAGGAGCGGAGAGTGAATATCCTTAACGCACGCTACTCACTACGGGTTTTCATACACCCACGGGTGTTCGAATACAGGGTGATGTAGATACCTGACATCCATTTCAGTGAGACACTGCTATAAGACTTTTTGATCAACGGAGTCGATTACCGCTTCTAGATTAAAAAAAGTATAGCTAGTGTTGAGCCACAGCAGGCATGTCTGTTTTCCAGCTGACAGAGAGTAAATACCTGATCAACACACCCACGAGCATATCTGAAATCTGGCTGGTTTCTTCAGACTATTTGTTCCCGAGCTCCACTTAGATGTCCAATAGTTACAGAACTCAAGGCCTTAAAAACCTTTTCCTTTGGATGAGTTTCGGTCATTTACACTGTTTTTACAGCAAACTGAAGTCTCTTGATAAGTCAAAATAACTGTCGATTGTTACTTACTGCCACTTCTTCCATCTCTTTAGGCTTCGCTACCACCATTACTCACGGTTATTGGATGAACTCTTGTAAGTTTGCGCTTGAGATGGTTATGCTCTTCACTGAGCTCGAAGCTTGCAGCAATGCATCCAGTAATTCATAAGAAGTCTCTGAGATCTAGTGATCCTTTAAACCTTTTTCTAAGGATCAACTAATATCTTTAGAGCGGATTTTATAACAAACTAGAGATGAAACTAAACTCTGACAACTGTCTAGCTAGTATCTCGTTGGAGCAGCCTTAGTATTCTCATTGTTCAGTTGCGCTTGGAGTTTTTTTACGCCAATTCAGTCAAAGATGTTTACGTGCTTGAAATGAAGCGTGATCATTGTTCAAACATGTACTTCAGGAGGAGCAATGGTTTTTCATCGAATCTCTTCAGCAATAACTGATACCCACATGGTTAATGTATCCACCATTGAGATCAGTGGAAAATATCTTCCTTTATGTTTGAAATGAATGTTAGCCAAAAATAAGTGATTGTCTGAGTACAGTTGCAGCAGGTGATCACCACTATCTGTTGAGTTGACTCGGACTCGAAAAGTATCTTTCTGTCTTGGATTTTCTACTTGAGCACCGAAATTTTAAGCTACAGCAAATACATCTTTACGTTGACTTTTAGTAAGAGGATAGATAACTTACAGGAAAACACATCTTCAGTTTAGTTCGAACTACAGTCAGTGGCTGCGTAGGTTCAGATTACAGAGAAGCATCGGTGAGTCGCATCACTGTTTTTATTTCTCAATGCACTACTGAACAGCTGGGATCTAGTTGGGTGATGCACCTTTTGTCCTAGAATTTAATATTATACGTAGACCTGCAAGATCATGAGGATGAGACATTAAATACGAGAAGTAAATTTCTCAGATTCACTACAAACACTAGGTAAGGTTAAGAGAAGTGGAGTATTGTATGCATATTTCGCAAGATGAAGAGCTTGTTTCCCTATGGGTACGGTTATTTGAAAGTTCCGATATAAAGTTCGGAAAACGGATGCAAGAGACCAGTGACCCTGTTCAGTGAGTCCAAGTCGCTATCAACAGCTAGAAACAATTAAGTATAACGTAGCAATAGTAACAGAAAGATGCAAAAGACTAAGAGACAAGGATGTGGAAGGTTGATAATGACCTGATGGAACTTGGGTGCTGATAGAGTTGTAAGGATGGTTGACACTTCCCAGCTGTGCACACCATGAAGTATCTGAGAAAAAAAGTTAGTAATAATGGTATGTGACGACAAAGCCTAAGGGATATCCGCATAAGGTCGGTTAAACACCATCTTTCAGAAGTATGAGGTTTACCTTCGAGTGTTTTTAATCCAGCTAAAAAACCGCAAGGGAGTGCCATTCTTAGGGAGTCAAAGTTAGCATGGACTGCTGGCCATTCACAGGAAACACCTTACTGATGTCACACCACAACCAGTCAACAGTATTGAATTCGCCCTCAGAACCCCATCACAAGGTAGGTGTTTACAATAACTGATATTTGTGGTATGACAGGACCTCAAGAGATAAATATTCTCACCAATATGAGCTATTGTGATATGCAAATCGGACCACCAGGTCAAGGCTGCAGTTTTATATAACTTTCGGGTGCATCTTTTCTGGTGAAACTGATAATATGCGATTTCTTCAAAAGCTTGTTACTAATATGAACATGTAGGTTACAGCAATTAATATTTATTTATTCATTTTAATGTTCAATAAACTACTTTCTTATGTATCATATCTAATGTTTTCTTCGATTGGAATTAGTATTGGGTTAGTAACAACCTAAACAACAAAACAGTTATTCAGATTACTAGTCAAATTCTATTTCAATAACTATTTGAATAGAGTGTTATTAACCCATAACATTAAAATAAAACCAAAATTCAACATCGTTTCCTAAAACGATTCGATTTTTTTTATTAGTATTATTTATAATATTTACCAAAAAAAACAAACATGTTCACCGAGATTTTTTAATGAAAGTGTAATCTGAATGGATAATAAACAAAAATACAAAAAAGAAGCATTGTAAACTAACCAAAAAACATGAATACAAATAAAATAAAAACACACATATGGAAGGTAAGAGAATAAAATAACAAGAGGTTTCAATTTAGATGCACAATTTATGTATACTTATCTGTCTATACAGGAAGATTATCCTCAACATTGAACACAACACAATTTCAGGTTGGAGTTCATCATGAACTGACATCAGTTGGAAGAACTGGACAGCTGTTTCGTCTTAGCATGGGATTCCTCAGTAGCGTACATCCATGACCCCACCAGGGATCGGACACAGGACTTTCAGATTCGATGACCAGCACGTTACCATTGAGCCACTGAGTCGGAATCCAAGTCACACATGAGGATAGTTACTCAACGATGACATTGGGTGTAGGTCACTCTATATCTTGAACTGACAGAAGTAGGAAATGTGGACCACTGGATTCCAACCCAGTGGTTCAATGGTAACTTGGGTTCGATCCCTGGAGGAGTCATGAGTGTGCATTGCTGAAAAGTCCTATACTAAGATGCAACAGCTGTCCAGTTCTCCCCAGGTTTCCAATGTTCTTTCAACTGATATCAGTCCATGATGAATTGCAACCTGAAATCAATTAATAAACCTCCAGATGCAATACGACTTGCAGTACTTGAACAATGTAGTAAACAGACATCTACAAAAAAAGAGTAATAAACAGTTATAGAAGACAATAAAACACAACAAAATATCTTCAATAAAGCTGATCCAATATAATTCAACTTCAAGATAACAAAGTAACAAGCTATATAAGAAATAATGACTCACTCAACTAACGGCATATATAAAAACAATGAATGAGGAAGAGAAAATAATTAAAAAGATAAGGAGTAAATAATGTAGAATAGGGGTATAGAGATTCAATCAGTCAACTGTTGAAAATATTAGGCAAAATAAGGGGTATAATTCAACTCAGTCATCAACCATTTACTTATACATAGAAAGGAGATGAATAAAGATGTGCCTAACAAATCGCCTAAACCTGTAGTCATAGCTATAGCAGAAAAATCAAGTGAAGCTAAGGATATAGACGTGTTCTTGACAGTAGTGGAATTGAATTGTTTTATAAAGTCTAAACTTTTCCAAAGTTTTAAAACAATCCATTTAGCGAATACAAGTAGTATGCATATCTAAAAAAAAAATATTGAAAAAAAAACCAATAAATAAATAAATAAAAATGAAAGAATCATTGAAATTTATTAATCAACTGACTGACAGTAGTTGATGCCATCTAGCTATAAGCACTAGGGAAGAAAAAAAAAAGACAATATAATCGAATTTCAGTCATTAAAACGATCTATATAACTGAAATAATCAAAAGATTCTATCACAAAAAAGTGGTTAATCAGTTTTAGTTTAAATATGTGAAATATACCCATAATAAGTTGAAGGAAGAATAAGTATATTTCAGTGAAGAGTCTCTTCGGCGATTTCATTTTCAAAGCTGTACAGTCGTAAATTTATACATTTTTCTAGTGTAAGAATTAGATATAATTGTTTTTATATTATATCGTCGTTGATTGGACCGAACTGATCGGGTTTTAATTATATTAATGACGGATATCGGCTACCAAGTACATACAGCTGACGAGTCCTAAATAGGACGAAATGCGCATCCTGAATTCCACTACTAGCCACTATTCATCATTACTACAATAGGAAAAGGTTAAAATTCAATCAACCGGGAAGTTAAACGAAGACATTACACCAATTGGGCGAGTTCATAGGCCAACCTAACAACTGCCACAATAACCAATCAGGTTGCAGTATTCTGTCTGAGAAGACAGTTTTTCATAGATTATAGAAAGGTGATTGATTGTTTCATCAGTTGCTTGAGTGACCTTTAAAGTCATTCCACGAATTCATGAGATCTCTGACTATTAGTCATAATGGTGTCACGAAGTGCAAAAAGTGTCTAGTTAGGATCGTCAGTGGCTTTGGCTTGAAATCACTGTCACTATCACATATTTATCCACTCTATCATTTTTTCGAAGTTGTAAATGATTGATTAACCTTCGTTTATTCATCCGTTCTTCCCTCATATCCTTTTTCTGTATTATCCTGCCCTGTATCAATTTCAATGGGCACAATATAAGATTAGTGACCAAGGTACAAAAGTTGAAGCATGCTAAACTAAAAGGTACGTGGACGATACTTTTATTACCTGTGATCATCAATATAATTCGAATCATGTTCTACAAATATTCAATAACTGCCACTCAGCAATTAGATTCACCCTTGAGCTCGAAAATTCACTTTCTTGGTGTAAAGCTGACAAGAACAGCTGATGGAACGTTAAGTAGGTCAATTCACAGAAAACTAATGTGGAATAGTCAACTGACGAACTTTAATAGCTGGGTCCCTATAAATCGTAAGCGAAATCTCATCATATCTTTTGCCACTCGCATTGGACGGAATCTGCAGTAGCGGAGATTTTTCTTCTAAAGAAAGTCTTGATTGAAAACGGATTCCCACCACGCTTTATAGACAAACATATCAAAGCTAAACCTCACAAAGAGAACCTTACCGCATGTCAAAAAAGATATTCGATATGAATCTAAACTTCAAAGGTGATTCTGTCGCTGACACTAAAAAGGAGGATATCAAACGCTTTAAGGAGATCATTCTTTGCATCAAAGCTGAGACTATTATTCTCTGGTCGCCCAACGATTTTTAACAACTCAAAGGAGAAACTTTCGCATCTAACCACTTCTGTGTATATATCAATTCACCTGCTCTTGTGGAGTCAGGTATATAGGTCGTTCGATGTAACTGTTATCCAAAAGGGTTCAAGAACACTACCTCGCGTGGTTACATAGAGCGATAAGGAGTGCTATAATTGAACTCATCGTCGACACAAATCACCTTATCTCAAAAACCTCGTTTTAAGTCATCTATAAAGTTAAAAGAAACCTGCCAAAGGCTGTATGTCTTGGCATTCTCTGCATCGTTGAAGCTCTTGCCATTAAAATGGAGAAGCTTGAACTGTGTACACAAAAGAAGATTGTTCAACTCCTTCTTCCACTGCTAGCCACTATCCATCATTATTATAACTATAGAAAACATGTAATATCGAGGCATCCGCATAGGAGTCCATATGCCAATAGAGACTAATCAATTCAATCCAATCAACGACGGTATAATACAAGTAAAAACACTATTCTTATTGTGGCTAACATTGCTTATGGAGATGTAGGTGATGATGAAGTAAATTCGATGAATACCAAAAACATTAGAGTAAATGAACAGAATTGATATTCCACTAAAATATTTGAAAATTTTTGAATACAATCTGTTAAAACTATTTAAAAAAAAATCTGTTTCTATTTTTATAAACAAACTTTATTTGTAGTAATGATTGGCAGTGGCTAGCAGTGGAATCCGGGATGCGTATTTTGTCCTATTTGGGACTCGTCAACTGGATGTACCTGCTTACCAGTGAGTGATGTTATTCCCACCAAGACTCGGACTCGGGAGCGATCGCTTCAAACACGAGAGCGTTATTCACTACACCAACCAGCCACGATAGCCACTTCTTTAGTTAAAAGAATATTAGGTTGAAGTGACCAAATAATTAAACTTTACTAGATTTAGAGCTCTTCTCTATTTAAAAAAACAAACAACCTTATATATTTTCCAACAACTGGATTGTATTAATATAAGTGTAAAACTTGTACACTGTGGTAGAATTTAATTCCATATTAGATTTGTTTATTTGATATATAGGGCATAGTGATACAGTCTTATTTACTTGATCATGACTTTCTCAGTATAAATTATTTTCTCATAATTATATCAATGTAATCACATTACTTTCATCATCGGATTTTTATAGTCCTTTACTTTAATTAGTAATAAAATTTTCTATATCTCTGGTATAGATGTTGCATCATTTCTATTACATGTGATGAGTGTTGATTCAGTGAACAAAGATTCAGTAATTAATCTCTCTGTCTCTCTCTCCACCATTGTAGCAGATATATTTATGGATAGTTGGGAAAACGTGAGCTTTACAAATGTTTGATCCTGCACCTAAAATATGGTAGCGATATACGGATGATACATTTACTGGGTTGAAATGGTAACATCTCAACAATTTCCTCACACATATTAAACTCAGTAGTAGGGGAAATCTAATTCACTTATGAGATAGAAAATAAACAGAGAGGAATTACATATATTGGATTGCAGGATAAAACAAAGAATAGACGGTGGTTTCGATACTACCGTCTACAGAAAACCGATATATTCTAACAGGTATCTGGACTACAAGTCATCTCATCCAATGTCAGTTAATGCAGGTTTAGTCAAGTGTTTAAATGACAAAGCTAGAAAACTGGAGTGACTTCAAAGGCTACTTAGTGACAACTGAAAAGACCAATCAGGCTTTAATATTTTACCCGGAAAAATATTTTCCCACAAGATGAAGGAATGTAATTGGGTGTCTCATCAGTTGCTAGGGTGGCTTTTAAAGTCACCCAGAAAACTGACTGGTCAGTGCAAGGATCTAAAGAAGGAATTGAAACACATAAAAGAAGCACTAGTAGTTAATAATTATCCTCCGCAGTTTATTAAGAAGTTCATTCGAGCACACAAGAAACGAAAGGGCAACAGTAACACGAGTACGAATAATAACGACAACACAAGTAGAAAGGAGTTTACAGCCTCCATTGTGTCACCTTATAAGGAAGGTACATCACAAACTTTACGTAGAATCCTAAACAGAGCTGGAATTAGGGTGGCATTTAAACCCTACAAACTCACCCAGAGATCAGCTTTGTCGGTTGGCTTAAGGATCCAATAGAACCAATTAAGCAAAATAATGTAATCTATCAAATCCCATGTAATGACTGTGAGGTCAAGTACATAGGTCTAACTAGCTGGTCGGGGTCGGTTAGAATAGCGGAATTTATCTAAATATAAAATGGCAGACCCGAAAAAAAGATCAATAATCTAGAAAAAAAACCCGGCTATTGCAATGGATGCATTGACACACAACCACACAACGAGGTGGGTGGGATAAAACCACCGTACTCAGGTCCAGTATAATTAGGTAGAGAGAAATATTGATTACTGAATCATTGTTCATCGAGTCAACCAACACCCAACACATGTGATAGAAATGACGCAACACTAATGCCAGAGATATGGAAAACTTTACTAACAATGGAAACAAAGAATACCAGGTGGTGACAGGACTATGAAAATCAGATGTCGAAAGTAGTGTGATTAGATTGAAATGGTTATGAACAATAATTTATGCTCGAAACGTCATCCAGTAAATAATACTGTATCACAATGCGTTATAAATCAAATAAACAAATCTAATATGGCACTGGATGGTGTGCTTCTGAAGAATATCACTCAACCGCTGTATGCATGAGCATCTGAATAAACATAATATTTGCTAGACTGTGTGAAGACGTAAAAATATGTCCAAGTTATACTTTGGCCATAATTATTTCAATGTATTTCGATTAGTCTAACAACATGTTGTTTATTCAGACAATATATTTTTTCAGTGGTATTCATCACAAACTTATATCTAGTTTGGAAGATCACTGAAAAACAGTGCGCACTGCTGAGGAGTCCCATACTACGACGAAACAATTATCCAGTGCCTTCAGGTTTCCAATGTTTCTCCACCTACTAGTCCATGATGAGCATCAACCTGAAATAAATAAATAAATCCCCAAAAACCTCCAAATATAATCATTCTAATGTTTATTGGTGACTGGCTTAGAGAGGTGATCCTCGAGGTTCCAATGAGAAGTCCTAACCTGTGGAGGCAACCAAGTCGAACATAAGGAATACTACTCAACGACGACATCGGATGGAGGTCGTGCCATATCGTGAACTGATAGAAGTAGGAAGTATGGACGAGTGGATTTAGACCAAGTGGCTCAACGGTAACGTGCTGGCCGCGAAAGCTGAAGCTCCTGGGTCCGATACCTGATGAGATCATGCATAGTAATTTGCTTTTGAACACACAAAGGTGGTTCAAACCTCCTAATGGCTAAGGCCTCAAAAAATTTAAGGATCCACCCCCAACACGTTTTGTAAATAGTTCTACAGGAAGTAGCTGCGTCAATCCTGTGACCTGTCTCGACAATATGTTTCGCGATCGAAGAACTTGGACGTCTGCTACCAACCGTTATGGGTTCATGTGATTTAATTTGGTTCTGAAGCCACTGTGGGATATGTTCGGAGGCTCCTGTTTGCATAGATCTATGAGTCCTCCCTATGTATATGTTACTACACGTACATTTAAATTGGTGGATGCAAAGTGATGTGACATTGTCATTCACATGCTGTTAGGGTTTGGGAGAATATAGGCGCTTGATGGTTCCCATTAATCAAATCTTAGCTCCATAGTAAGTCCTGCTAACAGCAGTGTTAAGTCTCTGCTGAAGGATTGCACTATGGGAATCACCTTTGTACGAAAGACCGATAAAGACATCTTTCTGTGGGACAAAGTGAAGAGTTGGTTTTGGCGATCTGGTTGTTTTGTGCTAACTAATAAATTTTGATAGTTAGTTATTTTACAACAGTATTTAAGTCAATGTTCTTCATTCGTCTTCCAAAGTATCATCTGTTGAATTCTAATAAGCACTTAACACTCGTTTGTACCGAATTACAGTAAAGTTATGATAGTTCAAATATTTTCCTGTCCATGTAGGTTTTCTGTAGACAGATCGTTTTATGGATCCATTCTGTCGTCGATTAATTAAATATCTTAAATACTGTCTCAATTCCCTGAACTAATTAATACATATTGATAGGTAATCTATCATTAATTAGCTTTACACTGCTTGACTGGATGTCATTTTGTAATTATAAAATGTTATATGTTGGTGTACACCTATCGATAAGGAGGTAATTGAATATATATATATATATATATATATATATATATATATATATATATATATATATATATATATATATATATATATATAATAAAAATATCGCGCACCATCCAGAAGTGGCGACTACAATCTTTCCATCAAAAAAGTCTCACGACTCAAAATATTTACTGACGTAGGTAGAAAAATATCCCGAAATGTGTTTTGCTGTGAACCAGTGATAGAGATTTAGTTACTGATGAGATGATGTAACTGAAATCTTACACAGTTGACTGGGTGCGCTTTTCATAGTTTAATAGTGATTCTATGGAATTACTACTTCAGTGCATTAGTCAGTAATTAGCTATACCTTTAGTCTTACTGATAACTGAAACTAGTGGGACTTTGAGACTGGAAGGATATAACATTCACAGAGAAAACTACTAGAGGTAACTATTCGATTGGTATATATTAACTTCTGAATCCTTATTGTAAAAGGATCCAGTAGGTGAAACCGTTTGACCACGTTCATGTGGACAAAAAAGTGTATCCACCCACTAATGAGATTTTAATTTTCTAGCTGCAGGATCAAAATGAAAGATGGAGAACGTGAAATCATACGATAAAGAAGGCTCTACCAATTGGTACATCATAAGATACATAAAGTGATTTACCTGCATAAATCCAGCCAAGATATAGGGAATTAAAACGTTGAGTTGTAGAGAAAATGAACTATTCTCTTGTGAAATTCTTTGGTTCAAATAGTAGCTAACAGCTACGCTGATTAAAGTCAAGATAAAGTGAACTGGGACACATAATAGCCGTATAAGTCCAGATATTTGAGAAACATCGGTATAAATTTCGCGCAATTTTCTGCATGATCCAGTTGTTCCTGTGGTCGAATATGATGATGAAGAATGAAAATCAAAAACATCAGATTGTAGATTTCTATCATCAGAAACCTGTGGACACGATTTTGAACGCATGACACATGTAGCTGTCGAAGAAACGAAAAAAGATTTCTTCAAGGGAAACTTCTTAGAACATGTCATTGAATGTAAACGTGTTGTCATTCTACTAATCAACATTGCAGCAAAGATCCACCGACACCTAAGTGTACAGTAAAATGAGGAAAATTACTCATCAAATTGATAAAAGGAAGGAGATTCAGAATTATACTAGCCTTCTGCCCAATACATTATACAATTTAGCAAACGAATGAATATTACCTACTACATAAAAGCTCATAGATATGCTACAACCAATATGTGTCAACAAAGTAGATCACTTGACATTCATAATCTATATTCTTGACTCTCCTACCTAGTGTTTTGGATGTAACAACACTTTAAACAAACACATTCTATGTGATATATTAACCGGTTAATCTATAAATTCTTCTTTAATTGTAAATATGCATCAAAGTGTGATGCCAACAAGGTTTTTTATCAAGAAAAACCACTTAGTCAAAGCTTGATACGAAAGCACAATGTATCATGAAGGGGAATTAAGGAGACAAAACGTACCTGTAAACAACATGACTTATCATATCATCACAGCTAAAAGAAAACTTTGAATATATTATTGCTGGTAATTTCTTATCGTTGATTGGATCTGATTGGTCGGTGTCTATCGATATATAGGCTTCTGGGAGCATGCCTCGATATTGTCTGTAGTTTCATTTCGATAGTAATGATGAATATTGGCTAGCAGACGAATTCAGAACGTGTATTTCGTCCTACTTGGGACTCGTTAGCTAGATCTATATCCCTTTCGGTAAGTGATATTGTTCTTACGCATCCTGGATTCCATTATTGGCCAACACCCATGGATACTATCAAAACTTTAATGTTACTCTACTTTTCTAGAGTCAATCACTTTTTCTATGTACTAATGAAATTCGTAACATTCAGTCACCCAAAAAGTTAAGTCAGACGACTAATCAATGTTGAAACATCATCATCAAAATCAACATAGGACCAGGAATTACTGTGTAACGGTCCAAGTTGCTACACCTCATATCAGCACATCAAGTAACGGGGCAGCGAAATGGAAGGTGAAGAAAGAAAGAAAAATGGATAAAAAGGAGTAGAAAGTAGTAAAAGAGAAGAAGGAAGGATGAGAAAATGGTGAGATTAATTATAGTGGTTAATATAAGGATAATGTATGTATACATCTGCGGCACTGACAACGGTTCCGAGTCATATCACCTAGAGTCTCCAACCACTGATTTCGCTTGTCCCCCGAACCATAACCGGCTAGTCTGCATCGCCCAACATGGCTCAAACCAACAGTAAAGGACTTCATGAGTTGACGTCGCCTCGAACCTTTTTCCAGTCTGAACCTACTTCAGCCAATATTGTGCGATGAGGTAGACGGTGGCTGGGCAAACGTTCCAACCATCTTATTCGATGAAGATCCACAACTCCATGAACTGACTTATCTTTCCTTCCTAAAACTACACCTAACTTCTGCATTACACCCGTGGTGACACCACGAAACACGACCTGTGCTACGAAGGTAATAGTGGTCAAACAACTGAGACCTTCTCATATCTTCTACCTTTAAAGACCGTGATTCACAGCCATATAGTATAACAGAGGCGAATGCAGCACAGTACACTCAATCCCTAATCGACAGTCGGATATTGCGGCGGCCCTACAGATAGCATAGGTCGGAAAAAGTTAATCGAGCCTTTTGGATCCAAGCAGAGATTTAGTCGGCCACTGAGGCACCAGGGCTAATTCAAATTCCCAGGTAAGTGAAGCGTTCAACACGCTTAACCACTTCACTCCCTATTTTTAGCCAGAGCAACAATTCGCATTTGGGTGGCGAGATAACTCTGCATCTTATCAGACTCTTCATCTAACAAGACTATGTGATCTGCGTATTCTAAGTCTACCGAAAATTCTCTTATGACTAGGTCAATCCCCGTGTAGTCAGATGTCGAGAGAGAGACCTTCATAAGAACATCTATGATAAAATTGAACAGGAATGGAGAGAGTGGACATCCTTGATGGAGACCACTAGACGTACACAACTCACCCGACATCTCACCATAGGCTCTAACACGTCCACAAATGTTCGAGTAAAAAGCCTTCAATAAGGCCATGTACTTACTCGATACTCCTTTCAGTGAGAGACATTGGCACAAGACTTCTCGACCGATGGAGGCGAATGCCCCCTTCAGATCAAGAAATACAGTTATTGTTGGGCGTTGGTAAACGTGCGTGTTTCAGAACCTGGCGGAGTGTGGGTATTAGGTCGATACACCCACACCCAGGTCTGAAACCTGACTGGTTGGAACAGATTCAAGATGACTGGCTGGAGATAAGCATAGATGCTGTCCAACTGTCTATGGTTTTCAGCAGTTTATTTCTTTCATTTAATATGTTGCTTACAAGGATTGAAACATTGTTCTATCTAGTTAAAAAGCAATCCTACTGTGACCTTAGTACACTCTAATAATCATATTTCTCAACCTAAAGCCATCTTGAAACACTTCGCGTATTATAATTAGACAGTACCCCAGTTAAAGGAAAAACAGGATGGGGTAAGCACGATAAGAGTAGTTATTGGAAATGTTTGTAATAGCACCAACTGTCCCGTAATTTAAAACTCGCACCGATCATATTTTATTGTATACAAACATAACTACTAATTTTGAACTTATTAGAAGTATGAGGTCGAAACATGACGTTATTTAGAAATATAAGTCTGCTACACCATATGCATCACCGTCATTGATAGGCACATACACTTAGAAAAGTGACTTCTTATGAATCAACAGTTGAATTTCGCAAACTGTACGGTAAGCAAACAAAACAACAGTCAAGAACTAAGTTTATAAACTTGTAAAAATAAAAGTAGTAGGGTCTAGTTGATATGATATTTGTAATTTCTCGTTGCTATACAGGGCCGAACTGCTTGACCTCTGTTAGCAGGTGGGCTTCTATGAGGATGCCTCGACACTGTTGAATATTCATGATGTTATATTGATGTTGGTGACTAGCAGAGGAATACAAAACGCGCGTTTCGTCCTATTTGGGACTTGTCAGCTGGATGTACCTGCACTCCAGTGAGTGAGGTGGTACCTACTGAAGCTCAAACCCAGTGCCCATCGCTTCAAACGCCAGAGCGTTATCCACTGAGCCAACAACAACTGATAACCACCGCACAAGAGGTCGCTATCGTGCCCCAATGGATGCGGCTCTGGCGTTTGAAACGAAGAGCACTGGGTTCGAGCCACAGTGGGAGCAACCTTACCCAGCTGACGATTCCAAAACAGAACGAAACGTGCATCCTGGATTCCTCTGCTAGCCACCAAGATCAATATAATATTGAGTTCTATTTTACTGGGGTCGTGAAAAAGTTGAAATGCGCTCAGCTGTCACGTGCACTTTCATGCAGTCTATAATGAGCCACACCAATTGTGATAGAGCTAATGATGCTCAATGACTGCCCAAAACTCAGTAGGTGGGATAGATTTCACATCAATTTTACTGGGATACTCGACAATCAGCTGAAAAGTGAATATATAGTGCAGTAACCCACTTAGTTTCACACTACTGATGAAGGTGAAGTATATGAATACGTTCAAATCATCTAATCTAAGGAAAATATCCATCAGAACACGAAAGGACATCCAACCACGGCATTTTACTCACCACTAATTCCGTGTGAAGAAATATAAACCCATTAGTTTACCAAGCACATAAGTCGAAAAGAGTGAAAGAATACAAGTTGAATAAATAACATACTTGGTTGCGACTAGCAGAGGAACCCAGGACACACGTTTTATCATAATAAATATTCAGACGATATCGAACCATCCTCAAATAGGAGCCCATATGCTAACAGAGGTCGAACAATTTAATCCAGTATAACACAAAATTACAAGCATTTCAACAAATAGTAATGAGTAAATACCTGTTTGTTATATCTACCTACATAAGTACCTATAGTCAAGCTCCCTATTGGATAACCAACAAGTGAGAAAATGATGCAATATTTCAGATCAATACTGACTTATTAAAGTGAGTGATTCTAATTGATTTATTCTTCAAATTGTTACATCCTGACACCGATCTCTTTTGAATTATTAGTGTAGGATGTGGTTTGAATCAGGTTATTTGTCTTCTGATACGGTACGTTTAGAGTTTTGGTGTTACAGAATCGGTTTGTAAAACAAAGCTTAAACAGACCCCTCCCCACCCACCAAACTGATATAACTCTAGATAGATAATAATTGCTGATATATCTTTTCCAATGTCACAGACTAAATTATAGCAGAAGTTGGAATAGTTATCAGTCAGTAACGAATATTTGTCGGGCAATTTTTTTATTTTAACTCCCTCATGGTGTTATCCAAGCATTCCAGTTTAGTGATTACATCAGTATTTATTAGCTCTAAAGCATTTCCATCTTTTTTTGATGATTAAGACGATATGATAAGTAATGGGGCAGGTTTGGCACAGTAAAACAATCTATATTCATATTTTGTGCTCTTATGTTCTTTCTTATTTTATTATTCATCTACTTCTACTATTTTTCTTCCTTGTGTTGGTTAGAAATGAGGAGAATTTAGGTGATGCGTTGTTGTCCAACGTTGAACAAGACAATGTACGCCTGACAACGGGATATCCGTTAACAAAAGTGTTCAGGACTTATTTAAACATCGAGAACTCAAATTTAGGACAGAAAAGTTTCATGCATTGACTACATCAGAGTATAACAATAGTTTAATGCTCTATAAAGATAACCAGCATATAAAGCTGAGCTACCTGAACACCACTAAAGCGATGATGTGAGAAAGGCTGATCACTTAAAGCGCTAACTAATGAAACTCTGGTTCTAACACCTAGGTTGTTTACAGTGAACAGTCAAATTAGCAGAACCTACACTGAGTATCGTCAAAAACCCCAAATGTATGACCTTGGTGAGGAGATAACTGCTTAACCCTCAGATAAAACTCATTACTTATTCACATTTATTTTTAGATATTTGAAGAAGCAACCTTCTAAGCTGATTGACAAGTGTCAGTTGTCCACATGCAACCAGAGGTATATGAATCCTTTCTGGTCATCATCACACCGCTCAATATCTGTCAAAAGTCATGCACATTTTCTTGACAACTCTGTTTTGATCTCAAAGTTTTTCACCTTTGCAGTCAATGTTAACGCTACAAGTTCGCAAAAAGCAATCCCAGTTTCTCAAACTAAATTGTGAGCTACATCTTACGACTGTCAGTGTCCATACTCTGCGCAAGATAATAACAAGCATTTGTAAATGAAGTTCCTGAATTCAGGGCTACGAAAGTGTGCAGTGCTTTTGAGACATGCAGACAACGCTTCAAGCCAAGAAGATATCCATGGATAACTGAAGATTTGTAGACTAAGCCTCATGGTCAACTTACATAATTAGTGAATGAAACAACAGTCAAATGACTATGAGAAACAACTCAATCAATATACAGCTACACTTTAGTTCCCCAATAACTAACACCAACTTAAATGGGGCATTGGTATGAGACTTTAAACTATTTCTAAGACAGTAACCAATCTGAATGGGGTGACGACAACTTTTGTTAAGAGTAATGGGATAGAGTTCAAACTTCCTGGTTGAGGTTTATCAAATAGCCGAAATAGACAGTTGGTGACTTTAGGTGAAGCAGCACAGCACTAACCATTGTGATGCTGATGCATTCAAATCATATCTTCATTTAACTTATGTCAACTTTATGTTTTTTACCTTGCTTTCTGTATCTTCTTGACTTTTCTTTTGGTATTACGTGTGGTAAGCTAGACGGATAAGTAGCTATATCAGATCTTAATGATATTGATGTCTATCTATTTATCTGCAAACCATATGTTGTAACATAAGCTTTCTGTATCTTCATTGTGTGCTTATGATTCTGAAAACTCATATTAAGTTATGCAGATTTATCAGCCATGACACTTTTCACTCTTTTCATTATCTCCAAAACTAATTAATGTCTTTTCACCTTTGTAAACAGTTTCGTAATGCGATGACAATTGACTGATTATCAGTAAACTGTTAGCTGCTAGTAGTATATACATACATCTGCCGTTTACTCAAATCTATTATGTAAGATCTGAATAAAGATGTATACAGAGAGGTGTGAATACGCTTCTGAAAACGATGGCAACCACAGAATATCTATATGAGAGCTTTTGAAATTTTCAACTCCGTAATATGCATAGATCAATTCACCCGCTCTTGTAGAGAGGGATCATAGGATGTAAGAGGTGACCAATTCTGCAATACATTTGTCCATATTTTTAGTGAAGCATATTATTTGCTAGTAACCTAATAGTAACGGATAATAAAGCATACGTTCATTGTCAGATAATTTTATAGTTCCCTAAGAAGTTCGAAAAGTTATAATGTAGAACTACGTGACCAAGATGATATTCAATAATGTTTCCACTTTTTACCGCCAAACAATCACTGGCTTGCACTGTCAACCAGTTCAGTAAGTAGGCCTGTACTTTTCTTTCCCAACGGTAGTCATTTAACTCCCTGATTATTGTCGTGTCTTCAATTTAACCTTACTGAGAGTTTGTGTCATGATGCAAACTGTTTGTTGCTTAAGAGGATGATTTTGGCGAGGATATCCTCTCATAAATGTTTCATTGTTGTACAACACAACAGAAACACAATATTTAAGAAAGAAGTTAGCTTTCTAAAGGTCTCTTAGCAGCTTATTCGTTATAACTCAAAATTAATTGGCTTTATCTACAATCGTGTTGACATTATCTTCACTTGTATTTCAATTAGCAGTACTGCTGGTCTGAATGGTGACATTTTTAGAGATATCATTGACTAAAGCTCTGCAATAGTATATATATATATGTATATCATTTCTATTGAAATAGTAGAGAATATTTGTAGCTCAGGTGGATGGTTTTGGTTGTATTGTTTGCGATCACTTTCAGCCAGTTTAATAAGCAAACGCTGTTTTGACTATGTAACTACGCTAATCCTACAACCGACGCGTACCAAAGAGTAATAAGACAAATGATACTTGAAGCAGCAAAAGTTCCTTCGGAGTTGAACCCAAGGCCTAAAGATGGCGCAGTACATTAACGTTTGATATTTTTAACCTTAACTTACTTGTGATGAAGATAAAGTTGATTTACAGAAAAAACAATATTGTCAATGCTTTACCAGAAATGCGATAATAATCACCTTAAAACAAAACTGAATAGAATAGTACTGATTATTGTTACTATTATTCATATAGACAGTATCTTAGATTATTATAGTACATCCGAGCAATACGTTTAGGATAAAGTAATAGACAGGACGTAGAACTTGGCACATAAGTGCACCAGTTCAAGTCACCACTTTTCAACATAGGACCTGGCAACGAAGAAGACGATGGGAAAAAGAATGACAGTAAGGCTGAAAAAGACAAAGAGAATAAATAAATGAAAATGACAATCAATACGATGCTTCCTCACTCTAATTCACTTAAATTCCAATTGGGATGATAAGTCCTGACTAGGCAGCCAGTGTGAATACAATCAAGCGGTAGTAAGGCGTCACGAATTCACATGGTAGTCAGACAAAACCCCAAGTGGTTGAAGTGAAATAAAAATCTGGTTAGCAGTCGAACCTCGTAGCTGAGTTAGTAGAACACCAGACAGGAAACTCAATGGTCGCTGGTTCGAATCCCACGGCGGGTCAAATTCTCATTTCACCTGCAATCATCACCCAGTATAAATACTAGTCTGCCAAACTACAGCTATCCTAGATAGTCAAATGATTAAATACATAAAAGTTGACGAGAATGTCAAGAACTTTGGAGATGACATTGCATTTACTGTGACCAATTTTTACCCTTATCATCAAGAGTTGTCAGTCACTCGCTCCTATCATCTCAAGAGCCCCAACCACAGAGCCTACAGCTTTTTACACGCCTCACGATAACAGTCAGGGACTTCACGGATTGGTACCACGTCTTAGTCTGGCTACCCTCAACCTTCTTACAACCTTACCTACACTAACATTGGGTATTGAAGTGGGTAGACATGCACAACACATATCCAAGTTACTTCACTACCTAACTTTAAAGGTACGCAGCTAGTGACCCTATCACACACAGACGATGGTGGTAAACTCGTCGTCCCTTCTGATTTCAACAATCATTTATCACGGCCGTACAATAGGTTTCACCCCATAGGTACGTAATATAATCATTCAAAAAGTTAATTATTTATACCTTCGACAAGAAGATAACGAAGTTGGCACGTTATGACAGACATGTACGTGTATTCAACGTCCATCCACGTCTTGGTATTTAATATTTTTGTTCAGGAGAGTCGCTGAACGATAAAACAATAATAAAAATGGGAGTTCACAAGGCAATTGTACTTTATGAAGAAAGACTTGTTTCAGAAACACAACAAATAACCCAAATTTACTGAGCTTAGGCACTGGTTGGATAAACTGATGAGTAGTAGACCTATTTATTTTACGGATTACATAAATTATAACGCCTATACCTTCAAAACAAAACAATTTCCATTATTAGAATAGATTATTGATCACTTTCTTCATTTTTTTTTCATACTCAATACACCACACCAAATTAACGCTCTTATAAAATACACCAAAATACCCAATACAATAGTCATTGTTGAAATGGTTTCGGGACAACCTAAAAGTGGATTATGAAGCTACTGCAATGAGGAATGAGTCAAGACCTAAAAAAAGATTATCATTACACAATCAACCATTGGTAATGTAGGATAATTTTAATCCACTGCAAGATAGTTGCTTACCGATACCGTCGGATTATATATCCTTTAAGTACACGATACGAACAGTAGACTAGGCTTACATGTGTATAAAACAATGAACTCATGAGCCCTGTATATTTGAATACCGACCCAGCCATTAGTAAGTAAGAAGGAAGATAAAGTAGGAACAATATGAACCCGTTCACTACCGCTCTGAACCAACGATATATATATATATATATATATATATATATATATATATATATATATATATATAGTCCTGCAGTGACTGTGCAGATCAGCCATTCAATGCGTGAGTTTTGGGAACCAATTTTAGATTTCAATGGGACGGCGTTATTGAAAATACTAAGTTTTCCCACCTTTTCGTGTTGGATTTTTGTGAAATAGCTCGACCCCACCAACATTTTACAAGGCCACAAACAAGCGTAATTTCATTTTCCGGTAATGATTAACGAGGATTTGACAATGTTAACATACTAACCTACAGCATGCCCTGAATGAAAGTGTAACAGGATCTAAGTGTACATATTATTTTCGGTAAAAAACATTGCTTCGCTTTTTCCGTGAAATTTATGACATGTGGTCGGGTAAAACCCTTAGTGATTGAAGTGAAATAAAAACCTGGTTAGCAGTCAAACCTCGTAGCTGAGTTAGTAGAACATCAGGCAGGAAACTCGGTGGTCGCTGGTTCAAATCCGGCAGCGGTTCAAATTTTCATTTCGCCTGCAATCATCACCCAGTATAAATACTAGTCTGCCAAACCATGGCTATCCCAGATAGTCAAGATGATTATCCCTTTTTGTACATATGATAGGGTCATTTCTGTGCAATTCATGTTAGGTGATCAGATAATTCATGGGGGAAAACATGCAATAACTCACCATTGATCGGGACCTGAAGGCGAGCAACGATTGGCAAATCACCCAGAAACCGAGATGAAATATTTCCACTAATACTAATAAAAGAAAAACATCATGGAGGATACAAGTTGATAAATATTACATAATATAATGATTATTTTTTACATAATACATAAGGAGATGACAGCAGTAGACCATAGTAGTCATTAATTACCTAGTTTCGACAAATCAAGCTATAATGATTAGGCTTAAAGGACACTACCATTTAAGTCGAAATAGAACAATGACAAACACAGAAAAATCAATGTAGAACCTCAAACACAAGTGCATCGGTTCGATTTGATACACATCATAGTAACATACAGAGAACAAGTAGATAGAAAAAGATTGATATCAAAATAGACAAAAGTGTATAGGAAGAGAACGAATTTAAAAACTAGTCAAAACATTCAAGCTGTTGAAGATATCAAAGGGTGAATATATCTGCGCTATTTTGACCAATTTACAGACATGTTACCAAGTGTCCTCCTCAATCACTGATTCCTATCGTCAATATATGGTCATCTCAAAGGTTTTGTTCTGTCGATTAAGACGTATTTCACTTCACTAATAATATAAGGCCATCGAAAAATGACTATGTACAAGTAAACTTTCAGTAAGGTAACATATTTTCAATTGCATTATAAAATTTACAAACAGATGAAAGTGACTCTCTAGTAAGATTACTGATATCCTGATCAATTGAAGAAATAGTGATGCAGAAACTTGAAGAAAAGGTTTTCCTAGTGATCATATTGAAAATTCAAGTGTATTCGAAGCCATTATATACATCAAACTCTTGACTAAAATAACAGTAAGTGAATAATGTATACGATTAGTTGTCCATAGACTTTATTCAAACGACCGAGAACATAGTGATAAACTATTCATGTGATAGAAAATTGAGTAATGAAGAAGAATTGTCTACACAACCTAATTAAACGTTTTTTTTGAATTCATCATGAACTAGAAAGTAATAACCAGGATTATGAGGAAATAAAACAATCACAAAGTGATTTCAAATAACAGAGAAAATACAAGCTACTCACTTAGATATTTTAGGCACATAGCTGCTTTCACTATGTAGAAATGCATATCAACTAGAGCAGAAAAATAATTATGAAAACTATCACAACCTAGTAAAGTAGATAATACACAAATTTAAACATTTTACCAAATTCTTTACAGTTTACTTACCTACTCAGTAGAATAGCAAAAATTAAAGGAATTATAGTTTCCTTAAAAGTACTGCGTGTAATAACAAGACTTTGAAATTCTGGTGACAAATTGACATTGGAATGATACAATAAATAGGATATGCTAAGAATAAAAACGATGGAAGTCATGGATATAGCAACAGTGAAAGTAAAAGTTGGATCTAAGTAAAAGTATAGAAGAAAAAAACAATCATTATTAATAAAGAGAGGATATTTTAACTTTTAGTGTAAAAATAATACATTTTGCTACCTCTTAATGATACATATTTGATCAAATCATTATGGTATATATCAGTTAAGAGAAAACTAACATTTCTAACCATTCTGTTATTTTGAATATAATAATGCTATCGTCAACAGTATGACTTTTATAAGTACGAATAGCTGACAACTTTCAAAACAGGAATCTAATATGTTAAAACAAGACATATAAGCGGACAACATTGTTTTCAATTAGATCTTCTTCAGACTTTAATATATATCATATATGTTAGTCAAACCAATCATGTAGATTTGTCGGCCAATGTGATAAGTGTTTTAAAATAAAAAAAATTGGTGATAATAATATAAATGATAAGGTTAACAGAATCAATTTACTTGGTTATGGTTAGCAGACGAATAATCTAGGAGCGCGTTTCGCCCTGTTTGGGACACATTAATTGGATACACCTGGAACTAAGTGAGTAATGTTGTCTCCATTGAGATTCAAAACCAATACCCATAGCTTCAAACGCCGATGTGTTATCCACTAGTTCAGTCAGGCACGACAGCCACAACCAGTATTAGTTATTACTATTTGTTCATGTACATGTAATTCTCCGTTGTTATACTGTTATACCGTTGACAGAGTTGATTAAAACATTTGTAACATAGATGCCAATGATGATAAGAACCAAGAAACCAGCACAAAAATGTAAATACTCCGATGATAAAAGTGGATCAAAAGCTTGGAAAAATAAAGGTTACGTAATAGTGAGGGACGAAGTGAGTGGATAAACAAAGTCTGGACAAATATAGTAAGTATATGAAAGGAGTAAAGAATAAGAAAGGGATAGGAAAAATTTCAATGGTAGAGTTGTGCGGTGCAGTACATCCAGCTGACTAGTCCCAAATAGGACGACACGTGCGTCCTAGATTCCTCTGCTAGCCCCAACCAATTAAATTATCATAATAAATATTCAGGCATCCGCATAGGAGCCCATATGCCAATAGAAGTCGGACAATTCAATCTAGTAAAACAATGGAGAATTACACGCATATTAACAAATAGTAATGATAAAGTTGTCTATTAAATATTCCTTGGCCAAGGTAGAGATAAGGGATGGACAAACTTCTTCTAGGTACAAAGAATACGATTAGTAGCTCGAATTTCCACAGCTTCTGTTATGTGTAAAAAATGAGTTCGAATACCTTTCGAAGGATTAGATGGTGGTATGCGATGAATAATCTTGGAAGCATTGTTCTTATCTACTAAGTGACCACTATCAACTAGATGAGATAAAACAGAATTTTTGGTGGATTTTATCTATCCCTTTCAATCATGAAGGTAGATGCTCAGCAATACATCTATGTAATTTTCGCCACACGAACAGATAAACTTGTAAATACATATAGAAATGATAAAACTAGCTGATTTGTCTTTTATATGAGCAATAACAATTTTTCATCTGGAAAATGATAAACAGAGTTGAACAGTGTAGAAAGTCCTCTTATTGGCTCTAGAGAGTCTATGATATATTTTTTATATATATTTAGCTGTTTATATTAAAGTAAAGCCTGAAGAGGATCTAATTGAACACAATATATTTCGCTTATATATACTTGTTCTAATTTACACGATAGGGACTTTTAAAACTGTCAAGTCTAATTAATACGTAATCATGTGATTCATGGGTAGTTTTCGCACTTGAGATCGTCAAATATGTTTTTATCTGATAAGTAGAATCGAACAGGTCGGTTTTAGGATAAATACTACAGGAAAGAGTTTATACTTAGTGCAGAATATATATTTTCAGATTTATGTTTATCATAAAAAAATAACTCCATTTGTGTTTTTCTCAAATTTTTATGGAGTACAAGACAGTAACTTTATTCACACATTCCTTAGTATACCTACACCATAACAGTTATTAACTTCAACCTATCTACAATGAAAGTATTACCTTATGTTCTACACTTCATTTTATTCACTAGTAGTTCCACCCAATTTTACATGGCCCAACTTGACGTATTTTAATCCATGTTAACTGAGTACGTCTCCCACACTCTGGAAACTTAGTCATAGTTACTAACCAACACGACTTTATATAGTTACTCACATAACCAAATAAACTGAAAATACAACATGCACAATGATCAATACAACTGTTATGTACCTTGAGATGATATCCACTCAGTTATTTGACAGACATTTTACTGTACTCCCAATGATAGTGACATTTTAAAAACATACAATAAATAAAAATAGGTCGTGACCACCTTGAAACTATTTGTCTAGCTTTCCTGACATTTAACAACTTAATTACAACAACCCACCGGATAGATGTAGTGTAACTCGAAGAGGTAATGATGTTATTCTTTTTATCATGGCTGAAGTCAACAAACTGTAGGTGAATTCACATAAACTGAATAGCAATAACATGAAAATAAAAATTAGAATGGGTCAATTCACACCTGGATCATGTTCAAACAGATGAATTTCGTTTAAGTTATTTGTATATGGTGGGATCAATCAGTAAAGGGGAAGTTCAGTGTAGGGCTTTAGATGACAGAGATATATAGGTCAGTTGGAACACAAATGTGTGTCATTCAGTTACTTCGCTTTTCAAAAGATAAATACATGAATATACTCACCTGGCTTGTGTGTAAGGTGTGATTTTGAATTGAACTTAGTCAAATGATAGAAGTCATTTATTTCGACTATCGAGAAACCACTGCTGAATAGTTCACACTTGATGAGACAGCTGACATTTAAATCTATAAGTCAACCTATCATGGGGTCAGGTGGACTGGTTCTAAGAGGAATACATACGTTGAAAACAGACTTGTCAAGGCATAAGATAACAACCAGTAGATTTTGAAGCAACCTTAAGTGAATATGAATAAGGATGTGAAAAGTGATAAGTGTGATGGCGTTAAAAAAAAAAGAACGGCTACGCACCTATCAGATTAGTGCGTTCTAAACCTTAGTAGTAACAAAGAAACCTAATAATAGGTAACTTGGTAGAAAAACTGCCTTGGGCAGGTTACTGAGTAAGGACAATCTTTTGTACACAATACAGACTTCATTTTAAAATATTTCTAGTGCTTAACATCCTCATACAAAGTCGAACCATAATCAAACTGGAGAAATGTCAAGGATAACTTGTACTGTTGTATTAGAAAAAACTTTACACGAATTTCTAATGTCGTGCTCGAAGAACGACTCTTTAAACCAACCAAAAACCTTCCCATAACTCTAATAGACTGAATCTTTCTTTCCTGTGAAAATAATAAGTGAATTTGTTTCACATTAAACAAAATGTTTTAACTGAAAACTCACGTAGCATAAAGTAATAATGGACACGTGCCATTATTACAACAGTTGCAAGATCTCCTAAAGCGGCGGCTGTTGGTGGGGCAATATTGTCAGGGTTCGCACCGAAAAACACACAAACACAGACTATTCCATACACAACAACACCTTTAGAATTTAGGTAATAAAAAAGGTGAACACTTGCTTATTAAACATGTGGCACAAATGCAGGTCACTGATGAAATGCAAACAATGTGAATAATGTCATCAGAAGAGTGAGATATACTTGATGTGGAAATATGCACAGTTACAATCACTAAAGGTATAATTGTGCTTGCGAAAATTGCAAGAATCTAGCGAAATCAATATAAGAAAATGAAACACTTAACCAATATGAAGGCCAAAGTGGTTGTGAACAGCCAAGATGATATTTCACTGAACTTTCTATGGAAGTGAACCTGAAATTTCCGAAAAATTAGTTTGTAAACAAACCACCGTAGCTAGTCTAGAGGAAAGAGCAACCTCTAAATTCCCCTTGAGTCCAAGAACAGGCGGGATGATCTCGAAAATGTTTACTCCCTTCGAACCCAAAACACCCTGTGGAAATATCGACAAGTATTACAAGAGATCATACGGAAGACTTCAGCATATCAACATAGCAGCCTGCGAATACCATACCAATGCCCGCTAACAGGCAAGCAGGAAATATTTCACGAGCAACGAAAGAAATGTGTCGAGAAGAAGACATGGTAAAATATGTGTTCAGACAATGGGAACATTCAGTGTTTTGTTCAGACTTTGATCGATTCATATTGTGAGCATCTAAAAACAATAAACAACATCATAATTTGTTAAACTCACAAGTTTTTCTCGTGAATCATTATCCAAATGAATTTACGATAAATTTGTTATTAAGTCTTGCAACCAATATAAGTCTGTAAATTGATTTGGACTTAAACATGAGTTATGGCACTGATATTAGTTGTTTGCATAAATGTTAAAACCAAAGTTGAATGCAATTAATAAACTATGGGATACTAACCACAATACAGTGAGTTTATTATTTCTGTAATTCAACCTGAAACAGGCATTCATATATTACGCTGTGAGCCAAACTGAGTATAGGATTATGATAGCACTCCTCTGTTTAGGCCAAAACAGGTAGAATAGGTTTTGAACCTGAGACCAACTGCTCACAGGTAAGGTGAATACTGAAACTGAATATAGCATTGAGGGTAAACAGTTGAGATATAATACTGTGGTTTAATAAGCCATTGTTAAAATGTAACATCAGGACTAATAGTCGCTACCGTATACAAGATTACACATCAAATATTACATATGACTATTCAGTTCTCATCAACTGTGTATCAACACTATCGATTCAATTAGTTTTATTTTACTTGTTCGCAGGTTTGCAGAATTTGTTTTTGTCCGACAGCAGAGCTACCATTTTGTCTATGTAGACACTTCTATCGAATATGACAACAGCCACACCCTTCTCCGGAAATGTTATTGTCAAATCTTTGTTGCATCTGTTCTTTATGCCCTTCTGTTAAGAAGCTGTCGCTCTTTGATTTTGTGCCGAGGTGTTGATAGCAGCAGACTGTAGTGGTCGATTTGAGGTGTTGAGACCACTGATCGGAAGTCGGAGAGAGATAGCTAGTTTGGCTAATTAGATTTCCAAACTGCACATGTGTATGAAGTTCATTGATATTTTAATTCAAATCGCAAAATTTCGGCCATACAAACAAAACTTCTAGCTGTAACTTGGATAGGGATACCGCAGAATGATTAAGTGCCAATCTTCGGGAAATTTGCTCTGAACTTTGACTAATTTGAGACTTTTTATTAAGTTTGACTGCACTGAATGTGTTCACTTGTTGGTAATTGTGGTGGCATATTCAGTTGATAACTGGTGTTCATTTGACAAAAATTCAAGGAGCGGAGAGGATTGCTGTAAAATGTTTGGTTCTAACTCTAGAACGCATGAGATGATGGAGCCAATATGGCTCATCTGTGACGTTTGGGAGACTTAGCATTTGGATAAATATGATTTCTACGTAAAGCTTTCTAAAACCATTTTGGATACTCGTGGTTCTTTATACAGCAATTAAGAAAACGAATCTGTGCATTCACTTCAGTAAGCTTGACAGAATTTAATAGATTTTTACGTTATTCTGTCACCACTAGGTTCACTAATAGCATACTGCTTAATGACCAGTTTAGAGAACGGAGATTTTTAGTTGTACAAAAGGTACGTGGACGATACTTTTATTATCTGTGATAGTCAATGTGATTTGAACCACATTCTACAAATATTCTATAGCTACCATTTAGCAATTAGAGTCACCCTTGAGGTCGAAAATAGATCGAAAACCCACTGTCGTGATGTAGAGCTGACAGGAACAATAGATGGAAGGCTAGGAAGATCAATTGAGGGAAAACCAACATAGAATGGCCAACTGACGGTCTTTCATACCTGGGTGCCTGACTCTGAAGCTGAATTTGATCATATCTCTTGCAGCTTGCATCAGGCAAAACTGCAGCCCTGTTAAGTTGGGGGAGGAAATTTTAGTTTTAAGGAACATCCTAGTTAAAAATGGATTCCTACCACGCTTGATAGACAAAAATGTCAGGCCTAAACCTTGAGAAAAAAGAACCCTACTATCACACCAAAAGAGATACTTCATACGAATCCAAATTTCAATGGTGATCCTGATGCTGAAACTCTAAAGGGGAGGATATTGAACTTTCTAAGGAGAGCATTCTTTGCATCAACAGTGAGACTAGTAGTCTCTTGTTATCTAATGATCCTTAACAACTCAAAGGACAAACTTCCACATCTGGCTACTTCTATGTGCGTATATCAATTCACCTGTTCTTGTGGAGTGATGTGTATGAGTCATTTGGTGTGACTTTTATCCAAAAGGGTTCAAGAAGCCTGTCTCGCGTAGTTACAAGGAGGTAACAATAGAGCGATAAGAAGTGCTATAATTGAACACATCATGAACATGAGTTAGCCTATTTCAGAAACCTCGTTCAAAGTCATTCACAAGGTGAAGAGAAACCTTCCAAAGGCTGTATATCTTCGTATTCTCTATGCCGCCGGAAATCTTGCCATCCATATGGAGAAACCTGGAGGTTTTGCGCAAAAGTAGATTATTCAACCCTTTCTCCTTTCATTGGTTTTAATTTTAAGTCTTTTAAGCCACCTCTTTCTTTTTTGTTTCTTTATTTGATAGTGTTCCCTTCCGAAGTAATTTGCTATTTTTTGTTTCCATGCCCTTTCTGATCGCAATTAAGTTTTCAAATGTGTTATCATGCCATGAAACTTCTTAACCAAACTCCTCATCCTCTCTATACAACTTCAGAGGCTAGCAGTGGGATCCAGGACAAGCGTTTCGTCCCTTGGGACTCGTCAGCTGGATGTATCTGCCTCCTAGTAAGCGATGTTGTTCCCGCTAGGACTTGAACTCATCCGTCATCAATATGTAATTCAGACAGGCAATATCGAGGCATCGACGCAGGAGCCCATATGTCAATAGAAACCGACCAATTCAGTTCACACGACGACAGGATAACACAAGCAACAACATTAATACTGTATCCGACGCACAAGAAGTGGCTATCTCGACTCGGTGGTCTAGTGGATAATGCTCTGGTATTTGGGGCGACCGGCCCCGAGTTCGAGTACTGGCGGAAGCAACGTCGCTCACTGGGAGACAGGTATATCTAGCCGACGAGTCCCAAACAGGACGAAACGCGCATCCCGGGTTCCAATGTTAGCCGCTATCCATCGATAATTTCAGTCATATTTTGATCAGGATTCACTATTCATCACAGTTTTCTTATTTTCAATGACAGCTCATATATAGACACTATTTTTGTTGTCATGCTTTACAAATCACTTTTAACTATCAAATCCTAACTCAAGAAGAATGCATAAATTTGCAATTGTAAGGCTTTGAGAATAAAATCGTCGAAAAGAGACTTTTTGCGGGAAGATTTGTTATTCTTTCAATTGAGTTTCACCAAGTGAATGCTATAAAGGGTTTCAGTTGTTAAAACAAATTTATTCTTCGGTCAACCAATACATACATCTTACTGTAGAATCCCGGGGAAATGTTTCGAATTACAGAGGGAATTCCTAAAAGACTAAAATGCTTTACCAATTAAAATAGTGGCATTTCACATGTACAAGTGAGTTAAGGCTTTTACTTTGGTTGTCCTAAGTTCATATTGAAGTTAGTGAAGATTATGTTGTCTAGAAGGACAATGAGAGCTGTACAACTAAGCCATCCAGATCATAGAAAGCAACGCAACCAAAACTCACCACATGAGTAAAAAATATTCCCCGTCATAATTCCTTAAATTTGTTCGTACTTATGAGTGTTTTATGAGTACTGTAACATTTCTTAAGCTGGCATAGCGATAGCACGCAAGCAGTTAAAGAACACAAAACAACTCCAACGACTAAATAAAGTTACCCATGTACATCTCCAAAACAATCTTAATGTTGCTACTGTGTAGTTGCACTATACGACAATAATAACCAAGAACGGTAGTAGAGGATTATTGGTAAGGTTAACAGAAGTGTTAGCTAGGGTATATGAAAAATATGACCCACTCTGACTGGTCTCAATCATTGATTGTGTCAGTCTTCAAGAAACACAAAACATCCTATGACAACCATAGGAGAATCGGTTTGAGGATAATAGTGTATAAGATACAAGGTCCTAGAATTATTAGACGTTTAAGTGTAGCTCGGGGACAGCAAACCTACGAAAACCAGGGATATTTCAGCGTATTAACCATATATTCACTTTTCCCCGGGTTCTCGAACACAGGTACACTTACCGACACAACGCTAGTTTTATCCCTTGACCTGGAGGTGGCACTTCACAACGCTGATCAAGAGGTCTTACGGCAGTATCTCTCAATGAAAAGTATGACCAGGTGTCAGGTAGAGAAAATCAACGCAGAAGTGCATCGGTTTCATTTGCCACACTTCATAACAACAGCAAGCAAAGAACGACTGGACAGAAAAAGATTGACATAAAAGTAGACAAGAGTGCAAAGCAGGAAAGCGAATTTGAAAACCGAATGTAGTGGAAATGTTGGAAGTTTAGGAGACGTAAAAGAATGAGCCTTTGTAACCGATTTTCGGCCATGTCGCCAAAGTTCTTCAAACATTGACTTTCATCTTCTCAAGGGACCCAACCAGGCAGTCAAAATCTCCGTACATGGTTTAGGTAAACAGTCAGAAACGTCGCGGACTGATGTCATTTCCTGATCTGGTCATCATGAATCTTCTTACAACCCAACCATACTTCAGCTAACATTGCACATCGATATAAACGGTGGTTTAGCATGCGCAAAGCATTTTCGGGCCACTTCAGTCGGTGAAGATTCGCAACCTCATCGACTGACTTGCCTGTCTTTCCTATTACTCTTTGCCTAACTTCGAACGGAATGCATGGTAATTTCACCAAATGTCAGCAATGCTACAAAGATACCTATCGTCAAAAACCAGTGATCTTTTCATATCCACTTTCAACAGCCATGTTTCACAGGAGTATAACAGGACTGAGTAGACTGGAATACTCGTCCACTAACAAGTTATCGGGTATCTTGCCAGTGCCACAGGTTACTGAGTGCCAAGTGGGTCTTTCGTATCCGAGCTAGGATTTTGACAGCAACCAGCCAGTTCATAACAATGCAGTAAAGTCAGTAAAATCGTTAACGCATTAATCTAGAGGTAGTCACAAGCCAGTACTGGAGCATCATTTTACACTTAACAGCTGCGAAACGCATATCAAACATACTCGTACTTTTGCTCAACACCCTCAGAAGATCCAACCTTTTTCAGTGTTTCCACCCATCAGGACGTCGTTTTCGTGCGTCAAGCCAACCAGATGACCTCCAGAGAGTAAAGCAATCACTGTTAAGACAGATATACACAAGGTTATATCTGTTAGTACGTCTGTGACGAAGTTGAACAGGAACGACGACAGTGGGTATCCCTGGCGGATACTACTAGTCGTCGTCAATTCTGATAATGCGTAATTTCCAGCAGACAGCTTTCATTGACTTTCTATGCATGCTCAGTACTCCTTTTATAGTCGGATACTGCCACAATACCTCAGCAGAAATAGTCAAATGCTGCTTTCAAGTCAGGAAACATGGCAAGTGACGGCCAACATTGTGCATACTGGAGTTCCACGGTCTGTCGGAGGTTGAAAATCTTATCGATGTACTCTCGTGTAGGTCTGAAACTTGAGTGGTTTTCTTAAGCTCAATTTAGGCGTCGGATAATTATGGATCCTAGGATCTTGGACATAATATTATTCAAACTAATTCCCCTATAGTTGTCACAGGAAGACCACTCTCTTCCTATAGACTCGGATGGTAAGAGAAGTAGACCAGTCTGATGGCAGTATCTCTGATTCGCATGCACTACCTAGCACTTCCATCACTTTAGGCAGCAATTTCCTGCCCCGTTTTTAAAAGTATTTAATGGCGAAACGTCAAGTCCTGCTGCTCTGCATCTTTTTACGTTTGAACCAGCCCTCTTAACTTCGAGGAGAGTTGGGGACTAACATGTACGTCCCATTCAGTTCCAGGCTGGATGATGAACGACTGAAGCGTTGCTGTGGACGAGCTGGATTGTTTCGAAATGTTTACCCTACGTTACGGTCATCTGCCCTGAGCGGCTATCAGGCTTACATCTTTTCAGGTGATGGTTTAACTCAAGATCATATTTTTCTTGCTAGTATCCTTAATAAGCCTAAATCGTTGCCAGAGTACCATCGCCATTCACCACTGCTCGTAATGGATGCGAAGACTCTTTCCTCATTATAGCTAGAGCCTGGTCGAAACAATCTCGCACCAACTAGTTCAGATGACGTTGCGAAAATCTCCTAGCTTCTGATGACTTTTGGCTATAGGTTACCGACTGTCTTTACTCTTATTTCTACAGAAAACTTAATATCCTACCATGTTTCCTCAGGATGAGCATTGCTATCGTGTTCAGATAAATGTTTTATTATCTCCTCCCTAAAATCGTACTTGATGTTCTCATCATTTAGTCAAGCACAGACAGGTTTCACTACCGTCAGTTTTTTGCGACCAGTAAGGTGCAGAGTTCAAACTGATCAGAGTTCAAACTGCTACACTCCAGAAAGAGCGCCAATCCCCAACAATCCTCATCAGCGATGGTTTATATAAATATGATCTATTTGTGTCCATAGCAGGTTTGAAGTCAGCAAACACCAAATGAGGGTATCTTAAGCCTAAAGTCAGCCCTAACCAGAAACAGGTAGTTGTTGGGGCAAAATTACAAGAGACGGTTACCATTGTCGGTTAATTGGCATGGAATTCCGGAAATAACCTCAAGATGTCTGTGCTATCGGCCCAGCCTTCTTAAGTGGGCGGTGAAATCCCCTGCTACTATGACAATATCTGAAAGTTTTGCTTTCTGCAGCAAAATTGACAGCTTCTGATAAAATTTACCCTTTGCATCATTTTAACTATGGTCGGTGGTGCATAGGCAAATATTATAAAATGGCATCAGTTGGTCTCATAATCCTTCCTGGCTTTTACAGATCCATTCAGTTGGACAGCACACAAAAGACTGTTGAATGGTACGCAGTCGAGGAGTGCACTTAGGCTTTACAAGTTAATGTCGTGTCCACACCAGTGTAGCGTCACATACTTCCCCAGAATTAATAGCCCAGGGTTCGACGAGATTTAAGACGTGCTGACTTTTACAGTTCTATCGAACTCGCTAAGCTAAAGGCACACGGTCAAGCATCCAGAGCATTTAGCACGATGTCGTGTTACGTTGCACTGCTCGTAATTGATCCTCTAGCCAGCTAGTTGGAACGCATCAGCATCTTGTTACGACCTCGCAAATATACTATTTTATCCGACTACGCTATTGTTTTTTCTTGGTCTCGCATATAACACGTAAGAATAAATAGTGATTGGCCTCTGGGTCTGTCAAGTTATCACAATGACAATTCCTAAACTAGCTAATCCACAGAGTTTAGCCACTGATACTTCGGATACTGGATGAAACTCCATCCTAGTGCATTCGCGCTTGGTTGTGTATACATATTTTGATATTCCAATCACTAGTCTGGCCCTTCAAGCATGATTTTTTTCTGATGTCTTTTAACTGATAAAGGTAATAATATAGGCTTGGGAAATGCGGTAGGATTATGTGATAGTACATTACTATTGGTAATCCCTAAGCCAGCACTAAGTTCGGGAACACTTTGTAAGTTTTGGGCAAAAATCCGAAGATTTTACCTCGGGCGCAGTTAGGGCGATGCACATTATCCCCTGGAAGTCCTAAACTTTTTCCTGAAACTATTAAAAGTTCCAAAGTGTGCCCAAATTTTTCCTCGAAGGTATCAAAAATTCCAAAGTGTGACCGAATTTTTCCTCGAAGGTATCAAAAATTCCAAAGTGTGACCGAATTTTTCCTCGAAGGTATCAAAAGTTCCAAAGTGTGACCGAATTTTTCCTCGAAGGTATCAAAAGTTCCAAAGTGTGACCGAAATTTTTCCCCGATAGCTATCTTGGAGATATAAAGCATCACTGACATACCATCTGCCCAAAATATTTGGAATATATGAAGTCTAGTTGACAACCAATGCCAAATATAAGTAAAAACGAATCACAAAAAGGACCAAGGAGTACCCAGACAAACCATAACCTCGAAGACTACGAAAATAGTACCGTTAACTTTGGAAACCCGCTTCCCATCTAACAACCAACTTCAATCCAATATCCAATATTGATAGTGCGAGCGTAGAAAACTGGTAGTTTTTGATCTCTCGCGTCTAGTTCTTAGGGCTTGGTTCCAGTTGTTCGGTTTACTCCTGCAGTGGACGAGGAAATCCCCTCTGCTTTCTTGCTTTTAGCTTCGGTGAGGTGGATGTTTTGTGGGTTAGTAGGTTGTAATTTGTAGAGTGATTAGGGAGCTACGGGTTGCTGGGAAGTTTAGAGAACTGCCATGACTCCTGTCTGTGTAGGTACCTGAAAGAGAATAGTAAGGTAGTGGTAAAGGAATGAAGAGAGAATAAAGAAGAGAGTGAAGTAGCACCATAGAGACTCTGGGAGCTGGGTTAAGGCCGTATCGCTAACCATCCTTGCCTTTAAACAGGAGTTTACGTAGATAGCCACTCCCCCTCCTGCTCTATGTTCCCTGTCCCTGCGGAAGAGTTCCATGCCAGCAACACGCATCTCTTCGTCGGAGATGTCCGATGAGAGCCAGGATTCGGTGATGAATATGATGTCGGAGTGCTGATGTTCACGCAGCGTCCTCATTTTGCTACCTTCCCTCTTAGCCCCCTAACGTTGCTGTACATACATATTAGAGTGTGCCTGATGAGAGGGAGGGTCTGGATGTGTATTTTCGCGGGATGAGCGCTTACGTGGTTGATTTTAGCCTCGCCAGTCCTCATAGGACTGGCATTGTTCCGTTTTTTGTGTTTTGTTCTTAACTTGGGTGGGGGCTGTAGCAGTGGTGGCTTCTTTACTTGATGTATCTAACTCACTGGTCAGCGCCTGTGTGACGACCACTGACTCCAGAGGTCTTGGTGGTTGCCGTCTCTCCTCTTGCCTTGTGGGTCTAGGCTTACTTTCACATATACGTATTGAGCCACCCATGCGATCTTTCGCATTATACCATGCGTGCAGAACGTCTGTGAGGGAGGCATATGAGTCGAACTGGACGGCGATTGGGTATGGTCTTCAGGTGCGCTGGCCTTGGCAGTCTACTGACGCTGTTGGCCGGTATACTGTTGAGACCAACTTTGGTTGAGAGCCATTGCCATTGTTGGACGTCGTGAAAGTACCGATCTTTGACCGAGCTGTCACTTGGCAATTCTGGAATCCCATGTACAACTATAGTGTTGTTTCTGTTGGGATTTCCAACCGCTGACTTTCTCTCCTCCTCTCTTACTGACCATGGCTTGTCAGGCCTGGCCCGAATTTTACAGGCATTAACAACGTCCGGTTGTCGCGAGAGGAGGAGTGTGTCTTCAGCCTCTTTGGCGGTATTTAGGGACACACGTAAAGGGGGTGGCTTATCTCGGGGTGCATGGCTTCCTCGAGAAAGGCGACATAAAGTTGCAGGGAGGGGAGGGAGTCCCAGCATCTGACAGTAGTCGGTCCACATTCGGCTGTCAAATTGTTCCCTCTCGACCAACAATGAGTCTGTCGATACATCGACGTTGAACAAAATGATCGAGTTGGTCCTCCTGTGACCTGGGTTCGTTGTGGGTGGCACGCCCGACTTCCCAATGGGTTTGAGTAATTCCACTGGTTGTTTCTCAGTCACGGTGTGTGGGGTGTTCGGAATGGGTTTCGTAGAGGCTTCGGCGGTCGATGTCTTTGGCCATGCGCTTGACGTCCCCTGGGGCCGGGTAGGGGGTATGGAGACTTGACCTAATATGGTCCCCACGCGAGGTGGCGTGCCCACAGCTGGAGCTCTAGGTCTGTTTCCAGGTCTCTCTGTGTTATCCTTTGGTGTTAACCCTACTTTATTCGAGGATGCTGGTAGCTTTTGCGTGGCGGAGAGCATCTCCTTCAGGCTTTCTGTGCGGAGTGCGGGCATTTTCCTGCACTCTGGACAGATGTACCAGAACCACTTGCATGGTTGTCTCTTCATCAGCTTATAGTATTGTCGGGGGACTTTGGTATCGCAGTGGCAATGCGCCCATCGTTGACATAGGTTGCATGCAAATGCCTCATCGACTACCGAAACAACTTTGGTGCAAACACTGCAGCCATCGGGTGTCGTAATACAGCCTTCCTTCCATGAATAAGGTGCTACGGATTGTGGCGAACTGCTTGTGGCTGCCTTGTTCTGAAGCCTTTTACGTCGTCTTCTATTTCAGGCATGGTATGATCCTTGCTCAAGATAGGACTAGTTTGTGACGGGCTAGTGCTACTCTGTGTCACCTGTCTGATGGCGACTGGAATTCTAGAAACATGGGTTGGCCACTTCTTTAGAAGTTCGGTGTTCTGCCCTACCTCTGTTTGTCTTCTAGTACAGACTAGTGTGTTGTTTAGGGTGTTACTGGCCGTTTTTGGGCACGACCGCGTTATCCGTGTCAAAGCTTCAGACCTAGCGTTTTGGGCAGACATGTCGCTATGATATAAACTTCTTGGGAAAACAAGTAGTTAACAACAATAAGAGGGTTGAAGACTGAATGCAGCAAAAGGACAGAATAGAAAAGGGAAGATAATTTATGTTGGCTCACCTTCAGACACTTGTCACTTGATCCTCTGCTCTTGACCAACGAGTTTAACCGTAAGCTCCAGATGCGTATGTATAACCAGGAAAGATATTTCCTGGGGAATGACCTCCGAGGAGAACCGAGAGCTAAGGCAGTTTGGCAGTTGAAACGCCCAAGAACCACTGACAGGAGGTAGACCGGTTGGTTCAAAGGAATAATAATGCCAATTTTCAACTGTTGAGGAGTGAGCTGACGAATGCGCAGGGGTGAGGTGCGTGGACGGACAGAAGTGCTGCAAACGTTCGATGTTTTTAGATTGAGTATTGCAAGTGGGAGTTTTTCATTGTGGAAAAATCCAAAAGCTGAGAGACGAGCGAAACACGTCACTACTCAAGGAGTGCGACAGGATTCAATAGTGTAAGTGAAGGGAACTCTAGTTTATGAGCTCTCGCTTGTAGGTTTTTGGGGTCGGTTATTTTATTCAATTGTAATCCTCCTCTTACGGCTCAAAATCTACGGTTTGAGCACTTCTAGTAAGCAACATCTTCCTAGGAGCCAGTGTGAGCCAATACACTTCTTTCCACTGCTTCTAGGTCTTTTAGGACCGTTCCAGATCTGTGGTGAATTACGTTGTGGTAGGTCCACCTACTCGCCTGCTGCAGCTATGGTGGTCCCGACTGGGCGGCTGGGTGTTGACGAGAGGAACTTTCATTCGACAAGCCCTGTACACAAAAACAATACGACCGATATTTCCTAGATTTTAGACTTATACATGCAACAAGAAGATTTAGGGCACTTGGCTTTATACTGTTTTTTATAATGCGCAGGGTAGACTTAACTTTATTACTTGGATACATTATGGAGCTTGCCTTGAATGAAGCAAGGTCAAGATGCTTCTCCGGCTGCGATGATATTCTCTTAGATACAGACTTCAAGTCGTCTCAGTCGGCGTAGAATAGGATAGGTTTGCCTCAACATTTAGTCAGTCGATCTCGGAGGGTGAAAAGAGTTTAAATGAGGAAATGAAACACATTAGGGAAGCTCTATATCCTGGCACTGGTCCTTCCGAATTTATCCATAAATTAATAAGGTTGCACAAAAAATTGGTAATGTGGGCAGTGACTGAAACAAGACTACAGAAGAATCCAGGGACCCAGTACTGTTTTCTACCCTACCTCCTCATAGCCGGAATACGGGAAGAGAATAGTTCGGAAGGGAGAAAAATAGATTGAATTGCTACTGAGTTTAAGGGATCACGGTGACAGCCACTGACGGTGTAACTGATGGTTCACAATCTTCTAGAGGGCAGCACAATAGCATCCCTCAAAATTATCCGACAGCCAGAGCGTACCGAGCTCAAACCCACCTTTTCACCAGCCGTCGGCCACTGTCATCGAGGTCAAACTATTCGAACCGTAGTCTTTGACGGCCACGACACAACCTGAAGGACACTTGACGTTGTTTCGCCGTCCGCGAGACTCTGAAAACCTTGGGCGATCCTGTGGCTATTGGGCTGGTTCGTAAGCTTACCAGCGGAGATATTTAAAAGACAGGTAATGGACTAGTGACACACAGACTTAAACGGTTGCCAGACTTTTAATTCCTGCTGACACTCCTGCAACCCGTGCACCTACACACTGATAACAGGTTTTCCAAAGGTGGCAAAATGTCCGCATCACTTCACCGCTGCGCTCTTTTCTATTCATACGCTTTGTGTCACCCGCGCGACGAAGTTTTAGACCACTTATAAGTTGGCACCTCGATGGGATAAGAAATGCTCTTCCTCTTCTCTATCCCTTATTTTTGGTAAATGGGTCAATCTTTCACTGTTGCTCAATACTTCTTGCCTATTTTCCAGGGTTCATTCCATCCTATACGCTATGGGAATTGTGCTGTTGCCTTTAGGTAAAATTGATTGTTTTCTTAGTTTTCTGAGAATCTTGAGCACAACTGATGCTCTCTGTCCTATACATATTCTCGCATAATAAGCTTTTGAAAAACTGATGAGTGTTTCAGCAGTCGTAGTGCACTTTGAAACTTACTTCCAACCCTTATTCTTTTTGTGGTATTGTTTTGTAAAGTGGAAAATCTCGATGCACAATCCGTGTTCCCTCGGCTTATGTCAAACAGACCATTGGATACTAAAAATAGGCTGGACTGCTTATCGGTCGTGACGTGTCGGTAGCGCACTATTTGGTGGAATGTTCACTGAGGCAGAAAGGCCACCGTCAAAAATGGGTGCTGTCTGGTTGGATAGTGATGGACCGACGACCAAAAATAGACACGCATCTCATGTGGTCGATGGACGTCAGTCAGTTTCGGGGCCGATAATAAGGGAGGCACAAGTCATCAAAAACATGAGACAGGAAAGCAAACGTAAAACACCAAGTTCTAGGCGACGCCCGTGTATATCCAGTCACAGTGCTTTGTTGCTAGGCTGAGTACAGTAAACCCCTTTGTTATCATCGACTTAGAAACACGTGCCATTATTGCCAAAGCGTCACTTCCCTAGGTGGAGGCAACCCTGTGACATGAGGTTGTGTGGACTCAGAAGGCACAAGGTGACTGGACTTGTGTCGCAAATGTGAATATGGGGACGGAAATCCGGACGAGAAAAAAGTCAGATGGACCACTCACAAAAGACGCTAGCGGCAGAAGCTGGAACTTCACTATCTTGTTCAACAGCTCTGTGTCAGGTGACAGTCTTTTGGGTGAGAGGACAGAAGAAGACAAGAATATGTGAAAAGGATATCATTGAACCCCGGAACTAACAAATCCTGGTAAAACCACATCGATCAAGAAGTGGTGGTCGAGCCCTTTGAGACAGGCCACAATCACTTATACTGTCTTTGGGGAGCCTGAAACGAGCCTAGAGCCGTTCACCCCTTCTAACGTCTGCCCCTAGTAATCAGCATACGTCACATCGAGTCCAGGCCGGGCAAACCATGTTCCATCTGAAGGGTGGGGAGAAACTTTCCATCTCAAGACCATCACGCTTTGGAAGGGATACTATAGCCGATAGATGGCCACACGATCAAGTAGCGGCGCCCTCATGGTTTAGAGTGGCGGTTTGCTTAGGACCAAACCTGGACTTGATAAACCGCCGGCCTGCAGGATGGCAGGGTTATCGAAACCAGTACGCTCACAGAACGTCCTCATCCGGATGCTGCTAACTGTGGGTGTGGACTCATATACGGAGCTCACCTATGTCCCGTGGCCTGGTACGGAAAGGAAAAAGAATTGGAAAGCGCATTCTGGTGCTGTGACAGGTGACTCTGGTTTACCGGACGACCGTTGAGGACGCCGTGGCCTTCCACCACAACTAGGAAAAATCTTAGTGGACGCAACTTCACTTGCAACACGACCACACCTTTCCCAGACTCTAGTGATGATCCGGAAAGTTGTCTCTTTATGGCTACTAATGGCCGACAGCGTCAAGCCGGAGCTTTTAAACAGTACCTCTTACATCTATAACACCCAATGGGGAATCCAAACCCACCTCTGGAGGTTTTAAGCCCTACTGTACGGGCATGTGAAGAGTCTCAGAGGCGAAATAAGCGAAATCAGATCTCTTCACTCTCACGCTAACCACGGAATTGTTTTGATTACTTAAACCTGGCTCATTCCAGCTTCCTCAGATGTTAGGCTTCACCTTGCCAACATCGGTCCAGGTCGTGGAGTGGGGTGGGTATGTGCCTGGGCCTAGATCTCAAGCCAGGAGCCATTGTTGCGAAGTAGATCGGTTATTGGAACCTTTGCGGTGTTACAACGCTTAAGATGGTACAAGCCGCATACCAAATACAGTTCCTGACAGGAGACTGAGCATAAAGTGGCGCCGAGTAAAACTCTGTGGGCATGACGATAATTGACAGTCACATCGTAAAAAGTTAGGGTCCACCCGGCCATGTCAAATTGACCAAATGTGGTAGCTAAAGAGAAACTACCTACCACCGGTCTGAATGCATCCGCTGCAGTGGGGCGAAGTGAAAAGAAACGGAGGATATCTTAACAGAAAAGCTACCGAAAGTTTTATCTCATCAACCTACCGCCCGCTTTGGGTGATTAGAGAGAATTCGAACAATAAGCAGACAGTCTATACCGCCTTCCTAGAACCAGGAAAAGATTTTGGTGTCATCCTACATAACAATTTACGAACAAAAGGCTGGGCGCAGGACTCGCTGAATTTACAGCTTTTTGGCCAAATGCGTACCTGGAGGGAACTCTCCACCATAGTTCATAGGGCCTGGTCTGCATGGGAGTTTTCCACATTTGGAGTGTCCTGGAGAACGGTCTCTGATTCACTGGTACTTTCGCTCTTCAGAAAGGGCCTGTGCACAAGGGTCTCCACCCCAGTTCTACCGTCTGAAGGAGAAACCAACATGTAGGGGGGAACAGATGACAATGGTATTCCGGAACAACTTCAAGGCGACCTGTCAAAAATGGAATCTTGGGCAACAAAAAATCATCTAAGTGATAACGTGGAACAGCGCAAAGTAGTGCGCCTTCAAACTGCTAAAGTCAGTAATGTCGACTACACCACAAATCGTCGTACACTGCCGCAGATAACTAAAAGGAAAGTTCCAGAAGTCAGTTTCCGCGTCAGCACGGCAAGAACGAACTATGAAGAAATGATTGCAGGGACAAACTCTGGTACGCGCTTCATTCGAGGGCACCTTGGGGCCCCACCAATGCTCTCCCTCAAGATGGTCAAAAGCTTCGCAGGATCACACCCCGTGGTTTTTAACACACTGATCCCTTCGGCGCCTAAGCACTTAGGCCAGTTTGGGGTGGAAACCTTATTCTGAAGGCCCCTGGCAGCTTCAGAAATTCATCCTTGACCACCTCAGGAAACCACTGAAGTGGTAACAGCCCACTGGTTTGTTCATCCGGTGAAGTATCATTGCAAGCAGACATTTCAAACTCAGAGCATAAAATCATCCAGTAACCCTGTAGGGGTAGTGCACCAAACAGCTAACAACAAGGTCAGAAGAACTTCCTTTCATTAGGAGTATGCTCACTATGAGGTGCCTTACTGCAGGAAATGGAAATAGCTCTCGCATTGCGTGATCCAAAGATAGTCACATAATCACACATTTGTGGATCTGTGTACTGGTTGTGTTACCATTCCGTAACGTTTGACCAACCCTGCTTAACTTGGTGTACGCTAGTACCGGCTCAGCCAGTGACTTACCTAACGTGCAGGTACTGATAACGAAAAGCAAATCAAAAGAACTGGTTTCAGGAATGTATTCGAAGAAGTAATATGTTTAGTTAGAATAAATGTAATGGTAATGAATGGCTAGAATATCTGAACCAGGGACTCTGAGTATGTGCGTGCTAACCAGCGCAGAGGGAGAACGAAACGGTGTCGAAGCCTGCTTGGATGAATGCTCGTTAAAACAAAACTCCAAACACATAGAGCATACAGAGGCGAGGTAGAGGTTTATTTGGTTAATTTAATTCAACCCATCTATTTTAGTTCTAGTTGCATTTTGGAGCCAGGAGTGTGCACCACACGCGTACACACGGCCTACTTCTATGCTACAAAGGGAGTCTCTAACCTGGCTGGCCCACCAAAACGCCTAGGTTTGGTCGTTTCACCCCCTCCTCAGATGTTAAGTCCCAGTGACATTGAATATTATCATGCCTGTAGACCTGCTTTATCCCTTTTTTCATCACAAAGTGACTTTACTTTGACTTGCGCCTAAATCATACAGATTTGCACAACAGTTAGAAGTCGCAAAAAGACCACTGATCTTTAAAGCACCTCCCCAATTTACTTCCACAGTCTATAAACTTCACAGAGGAAAAGGCCACAAACGATTGCATCTTCAGAAGCTGAGTGCGGAAGAATGGAACTAACTTCCGTTCTCGCAAAAGATGTAGAGGCAAACAAAAGGACCCAGCTTCAAGAATCTCCCGAAGATATGGAACGGCTCCGCAAGGCCTAGAAGTAGGCAGGAAGAAATCAGCCGGTTTGCGCAGGCTCGTGAAGAGATATTGGAAAGACATGAGTGCTCAGAAACGGTTGTCTAACTATGCTAGGACAACTGCTGACACACCCACTTACGCTTTGGTGTTGCAGCTGAGTTGGTTTTTCAAAATATAAAGAGAAAACTGGTTTCTTCAACAAATGTCACTATGGCATTTGAGGCCACTCACTCACCCGCCTAAAAGATATCGAGTTTTGTTTGCTGCTTCCTCTAAGCCCTTTTCGCTTGCCATGGGTTAGCATTATCCACCTAAGTTCTCCATATCTTTGCACCCCTTTTCGCCTTACCTGGGTGTAAGTAGATTACTCCATTAGTTCGCTTTTCTTTCCCTATTTACTCGCATAGATTTTTCTTTCAAGGTTTTCTCTTCAGTATCCCCAACCCGCTTTAACGACCAGTGGGAACAACTGTCTGGCAACTCGACATTTGAAGAAGCCAACTGTACCACAGTCCAAGGCGAACTAACCAACAATTAATCTCCTGTTCTGCATACCAAGGCTGTAGCAGACGAGTGGCCGGATCTACTGCATCGGAATTCGCCAAAGACCTGGGACCGTTCTGCAAGACCAAGAAGAAACCAACTAGTTCACACAAGCCCGTTAAACAGACATTGGATATTCACTGAACCACTGAAGGTTACTGTGAAGTAAACAGTGCATAATTCAAATACCTGTCCACATTATGTTCAAGAGCAATGTTTCCGGAAGGGCATTTGCCTTAATACTGCTTTTCTTCAACGGTGTCTCTATTGTAACGCTGATTTCAAAATTTAAAAAAAATTTAGTTGTTCGGGGTAGCCCTAATATCACTGGGAGTTGTCTGTATTATTGACCATGGAAATATGTCAGAGGTTGTCGGTTCGTCTCTTTACACATCTGGTGTATACATGCTGATATTTTTGGGACTTATCATTTTGATGATAGCCCTCTGTGGATATATTGCAGCTGACAAGGAAAATACGTGCCTGATAGTTTCTGTAGGAGTAGCATATTATCGTGAACGGTACTTCAGTATATTTTTGTTTTATGTTTACTGGCGCTGCTTTTGCTGATTGCAGGAACAATAGTTTTATCTTTCCAATCCTCAGTAAGTTACATCATGAAGTGACATAACATGAGCTATAATTTAGCTTGGCGAATCTGCTAGAAAAGTAATGATGGATACATTAAAGAATCACTATGGGCGGCATGGAATAATAACAGATGCATGGGATTTAGTTCAAAGCAAGCTTCGGTGCTGCGGAGTTGACAACAATGGATGGAACGTTTATAACGGCTCTTGGTGGGATCTGATAGTCAACCTGGACCTATACGAAACGAATACTAAATTACCAGGTATTTAAACACCCTCATTCATATTCAGTAAATGCCTAAGAATCAAGTCTATTTTATCTGTTCGTACCAGATTCTTGTTGTGCAAAAAAACTTGACGGGTTGACTGGTTGGCCAACAGGTGTTTATCGTGACAAGAAACGTTGTCAGACATGGCAATACGGACCGCCAAACAGAAGTCATGGACCTCACAATGATGCTATCTACTATGCTGTAATTCATCTTAATAACAAGTGATCATTTTTTACAGGGGTGTTTTGATAATTTGAAAAGTTACATAAACAACTACGCCAGAGCTATGGGTGCTTTGGCACTTTGTGTTTTCATTGTATTGGTAAGCATGTGATTCTCCATACTTACTTGCTATTTGTAATCAGTGGTGGTATTTAAAATGTCCCTTAGTAGTATTCACTGTTGTAGCAGTTTGTGAACATAGAAAATTGGTAGAAATAACACCGAGATCATAAGTGTATCGTGTCATCAAGCACTTGGGTCAACATATTTCAGAATCCACTAATCGGCAAGCTAGTAATTGTTTAGTGTAGAACTAAATACCTAATGCTAACTAATTAAGGATAATTCTGTACAAACCAAAATAAAACCCAGCAACTTTGTAGAAGTAAACTCATTATTAAACCGAAGTTCTTTTTTCATGACATTAAGGCAAACACAAATGTAGATCAACCTGGTTCATTCGAATGTACTGGGTTACGATCCAAGCTGAATTTTTGAGAATATATGACACTACTTTACAGCTTAGCTCGAGTCAGGCGATGTAGGTTTTGAATTCAAGACTCAGTGACTGAAAGTCGAGGGCTTAAACCCATCAGAGACATCATAACTTGAAGCTGTGGAACGAACTCTTGAACCTTTAACCGTACGTACTGCTTATATCCTTCCATAATGCACCCACCGAAATCCTGCATCATTTCATCGATGACGAAATATAAAAAAACTATAAGTTCCTCTTCAGTGGAATATTATTTAACTCTTTATTAGTTTCTCCAAGGAAGGTAAGAAATGGTTATGAAATTATATGGACAGCTTTATTGTGCTTCATGATTGCTGGCTTCCTCTAGAGTTAAAAGACTGGAGTACATTTAAAATATTGACAAGTCAGCATGAAAATCATTAGCTAGTATCAAGAAATCGGACAGGATAGTACATGTGTGATGCAAATGATTAGATTATCCTGTGTTATAAGTAGAAGTCAAAGTTACATACTGCGCTGTATATTTCGTGGTAAGTCTGAGAATCGGCAGTAACAAAAGTAAGGAGCGAAGCCAGCGGTCGCTTTTGATTGTATACCTGCACAGCATAATTAGCCTTCACTTGGTGAGTGTGGCTGTCAGACATTATCTTCTGAGTTGGTTATCAAATGCATGTGTATATACATGCAAAGTCACCAATCGCACTTGATTTCTAGCATTAGGTAGTTGTCCAAAGTTGAAGTGTTTCTAGCGGTCAAATTAATTCCTACCTTACGACGTGTTTCTGTATCTAGATTACCTTCATGACCAAAGTTCCTTGCAATCAAATGTTTCAAAAACCAATAAACTGATCCGCTGTATTACTTAAAGAAACATAAAAAGAAATATTGTGAAGCCAACTACAGCTCCATGCATGGCGTGACGGTTGGAGTCGGTAACCAGATTAATAATTCGAACAGTACTGGGTACAGCCGTTGCTCCTAGAAGGTTACACTCTTAGGTCAGCTGGAGGACAGAATGAGGCGTAGGTTTTTAGTTGAATGTAAACCAACCACAGCTAAACTTCAAACTTCCAGAATGACCGTATGTGATTGACATCAAGCAGTTGTCCCTTGAGTTCTGTAGTCATCCACCGATATTACTAATTCAGTTTATGTTCCATGCAACTCTAGAAGTAACCATGGTGTGCGCAGCGGGGAAGTGTCAACCATCCTCACAACCATGTCAGTACTCATTGTCCCTCAGATCACTATTCATCTTCCACATTCTTAACTTCTAATCTTTCCACACATCTCCCGGTCAACATCCCTACATCATCTTTAACTTCTTCCAGCTCCCGTTTATAACTCAATTTTGCGGAAGAGCATCGATGTCTTCATGAAGCGAAGCTCCAAACTGCATGTAAGCGCTTTGCATGCTCGTACTCTTCATCAAATTGGCCAACAGACCTCGCTAGCCCAAATTCTGGCATCTCGAGGCGTTGACGTATGCTATATTGATGAGACGCGCATGCAAGACCATTTTGCAGTTGCTCACTCAGCTGGCCAATATGATGAATCCGCAAAATTTACCATTCGAGTTTCTAGAGATTCAATAGTCAGTTCTCGCCGTCTTAGAGGTGTATGTATAGCATTATGAGCTGATGCGAAAGTGCACTGCTTGACTGGATCATAGTAGACAGTCACCTATACGCTGTTCGGTTGACCAGCTTAGTGAGAAGTGAAAACAGTAGTGGAACTCACCACTTTCTTTGCAATCTTTGCTTCCGCACCCACTGACTGCAGTTCGGATGAAGTGAAAGATGTGTCCTACAGAAAACTGTGTAGCTTCCTACTGTAAGCCATACGTTCAGACGTGGTTGTTGCAGCAAGTAATTTCAGACAGATAGGTAAATGAACGTAGAATCTTGTACACAAGTGTATTGGTTTAAGTTGTCACACTTACGGAATTCCAGCTGGATAAGCAGATGACGATGGCTGCCTGCTACAACTGTGTTCAGACGACCACCTACTTCTGGCCAACGCAAAATTGAGAGAAAAGACACTGTGTAACGTGATGTCCAACGACTTCAACTCAATCATGTGTACGTATAAATCATATAGCTACTAGTTATCGCTGTAGAAGGTCTACGAAAGAATTGCCTCTGTTTCTGCAGCACAACTGGACAGCGGTGACGCATTAGTCCGAGTGGATCTAGGAAAACAAAAGTAACAATGCCATTTCAAGGGCAGTTTGATGAGAATACTAAGCCTGTCTTAGCGAAGAACTAGATAGGCACTTATCGAAGAAGTCTGGTACCATCTACAGTCTGCTATGAAAATAGTGTTGAAAACCGTTAATGATATTCAGAAAAGGGTGAAAGATAATCACTGGATTTCAGTAGAATTCTATGAGCTGCTGGGTAGGGGTGAATGCATTCTTGTAAGCTCCAAGCACAATGAGAAGCGAGGCGAACGTAAACCTAAAAATAATTTATGCAACGACCATGAGCAGTGGTGGGTGGCGCGGGTTGAAGAGGTGGAAAAGGCTGTGGTGAAAGGTAACAGCAGGTAGCTGCTTAGACTTATCAAAGAAAGTGGGGGTGAGAAAAGTCAATGGTTATCGAAACTATATTGAAAGAGGATAGATCTACAATTCACCAACAAGGGAGACATCTGGAACGATGGGTAGAACACTTTAAGGAACAATTTAACTAACCGATAGCTACTCTCCAATCGGCCGCCATCCAGTTGGTTCTTAAACGGAACACATGAAAGCCGTTCAACGCTTTTAGATGTTGATCAAGCTGAAACGATGAAGAGCAACATGTCTTGATGCGTCAGCACCGGAGGCATTTAAGGACGGTGGTCTAGGATTGGTGGTTAAACTGACTGAAACGTCAGTTGGTGTATGGGAATCAGATATGGTTCTCCCAGTCTTCGTGAAAGGCGAGGAAATATCCTGTGATAACCTCAGGGAAATCGGTCCGATAAGCGAATGAACCAACTGGTCCAGAAATGGACCAGTCAAAATTTACTATGTGCTAATTGCAACTCAGTTAGACTGACAAACAACTCATCAATAAACAATGTCCTTCACGCATCCATTATTGTTCTCATTTATTGACATTATGATTAGGCTGCCTACGCTTTTTAGGTTTTGTACATTTACACGTATCTTGTCGGATAATTTCGGTCTTCAGTCCGAATACATGTTCTAATCGTTTCAATGTGTCTCTTTCACTAATTAACTGGATTTGGAAATCAAATGGCAAGTTGCAGAACGTTGATGGCTGATAGTTCATATTCGTGCATCAGTTAGCGTCTTTAACAGTTGCTGTGTTCCAGGAGAATTACCAACAACAATAAATTGTGAACCATAATATAATCTACGATTCTAGGTTCTATACTTGTTAGAGGTCTCACTGGAGCTCTTAAAAAACAAGCCTGAGAAAACCAGGCAGATTTCGAACCTAGTCGTGAGTGTACCGACCAGATATTCACCCTTCTCCAGGATCTGGAACACAGGCACACCTACCGACGACTGATCACAGCTGTATTTCGCGAACTAAAGGCAGCAGCCCAATTCGTCGATCGGGGATTTTCGTAACAATGTCTTTCAATAAAGTGGGTGCACCACAATATTAACTCTTATATATTCGGATATGTTGTATCAGAGCCCACGGTCAGGGATCGGCTGAGTTGTATACATATAGTGGTGTTCTTTAATAATGTCCACTCTCTTTACTTATTCAACTTCATTACAGACAAACTTACGGAAGTCTCCCTCTCGTCGTCTGACTTTAGAGGTCGATCTAGGTACGAGAGATTTCGTAGTAGACCTAGAGCATGCAGACGACACGGTACTATCATGTCAATATGCAGTCTTCTGGATATCTTGAGTAACAGTTTGAAAATGTTTGGGAGGCATTTCCCTCCTTAAAAAATTATTGTTTCCGGACGGATATTCACTGGTCCCCTGTCTAACAGTTGAGAGTGAAATGGTTGAACGCTTTTGCCAATTCATTTACCTTTGATGTCGGATGAAGGATGTGGATAAGAACCAAAATCCTTTAAGGTATTGCAGTTGACCTTACTCTGGTTATTTATGTCATGTCTTAAGGTTGTTATAAACTACACAATTTCCTGCAACTGCAAAACGAATCCTATAGTAGAAAGAGACAATAACTGCCTTACCTATTCTGAGATGTTCAAACATTGTCTTAATTCTATTAGTTATGTTTTCGTAACAGGAGTTAATGATGTACAAATCACTTTCCGCATTCTAACTGTGCAGTAATTAGTTTAACTTGTTGCAATCATCCCTTTTTAGTAAACTCGAGGTGGGATTGAATCCTAAAACTACTTTTACGTAACTCGGAGTCTTAATTTTTATACACAAATAGTATTCCAAACAGTTTGCACTGATAAAATTAACCTTTTACGACAGCTGTCCACTTCAGTACAAGTGGTTTTTGGCCAACAGCAGTTTAGCTACAATGTTGTAACGTTTTTACAATCAGGCTTTCTCCTAGGTAAGAAAGATGAAGTCTACTGGGATTAAACAGTGAATATGGTGCTAACTAGTTAAGCCAATTAGTTCACTTTATTAGGACAAATTTAGACGTACAATAGTGCATCAGTGAAACGTTTTATTCAATCATCCCAGCACCAATCCCAACCATATAAGATTACAAGTTAAACAGACCAACAAAAGCAATGTAGAAACTCATACAAAGTGCATCGGTTCAAGTAGCCACCCTTCACAGCAACATGCATACAGCTAGTATGTGAAGAAAGAGTAATATCAAGGCAGACATAGTGTATAGGAAAAGGAAGAATCTAAAAAACGAAGGTTAGTGAGATTTGTTCAGGCTTTCGAATATTAAAAGTCTTAGCTTGTTGCTAGACACGACTGCGCACATCAGAATCGAGATTTCTAATGATCTAAAGAATTTTATCACGAATAAAATCAGTTTTATTCAAGATAATTACTGGAATAGCGACATATTTCATCCAGATTTTCTAATATATTCACAGAGTAAATTTAAAGCAATCTGATCACAAATGTTATAGCCAACTTTGCGTAAAATAAACGATTAAGGGATTAGTGAATTAAAAAGTCAAGTAGGAAGACAAATTAAGGTTCGAAAATACGATGTCACTACAAAAAGACTTTCAGGTGCTTTTTAAAGTACTATGAAAAAAGTTCCCAGCACAACAATACTCAGACCCTTATAAGTTTTTATTTTATTTTGATTTCCTGATATTGCTTTGAATATGATACGCGTTGAAAATTGACTATTTCAGACGTTTTATCAATGCCCAACTCAAAACTTTTCTTCTAACTTTTCTAAAAACTAGATATGCGCCTTGATATGTGCAATATTTCTGTTTCGTGAGGCGAGATTCAAGGCTATGCGGAAGGAAAGGATGTTAAGCCGAAAGAATCCAACGTTATAGATCTTATGGACTATTAAAATACGTCATATACGGTTTGAGCCTGCAACTATACATCAGGTTTGAATATTTATTTCAATAATAATCCCGTCCAATCTTATAAAATCTGGACTAAATATTTCAAATATATTTTTAGCTAAATATATCTTGTTTCTCACAACTAATGAGATGTGACTTATTAATGCCTAGCAGCAAACCTGCACGTATTCGCTGAGTTGCACTACTACCACTACAGATCTAATGGCTTTATAAGTGTAGAGTTTCCAAATTCAACTATTTAGGGGGGTTTAAGTGTGTAAAGTGCCACTGTTAACGCTTTGCGGAAAAACAAACACGATAGGCAAACCAAATATTCATTATAGAGTATCGAATCCATTGTACATGAAAAAACGAAACTGGGCAGATAAAAAATAATTAGATATTTACACGTTTGTACAATAGTAATGAACTACTTAGCCCTTTTACCAAAACCCCCAAACCCCATCGCAGCTGCGACCTCAGTATCTTCGAATAGTTCTTCATTCTTACGTCTTTTCTCCTTTCGTTTTTCTTGTTTATAAGCTTTCATTTTTTCTTCTTCCTCGGCGATTTGTCGCATCCTCTCATCTAAACTATATTCTTCTGCTTTCTCTTCAGATTTTTGTTTGTGCAACTGAAATCTGGGAAATGTTTTAAAATATTACGAAGAATTACCTTTCTTTAACTTCTTCTAACGTTGACCTCTTAATTCTCATAGACATTCCCATATTTCTCTGATGCTTTTTACCGTTAATATGGTCCAAATAATTGATGGAATCTTTTACAACACAGTCGCAAACTTCACAGTAGTAACCTGCCTGTGAAGAGCCTGGACCCGTCTTTGCAATCACTTGGGATTTATTAATGTTAGATTCTAAGTCAATCTTTAGGGCAATAAGTAACTATAGCTAACAGATGACTTACTGTGTAGTCACGAGCTCTTAAGTATTCCTTTTTGATTGTTTCTTTCTCCTTGCGAGCATTTCGCATAGCCTCTAACTCATTGCTAAGCCTGTCGCTCGCTAATTTTTCGAAATGTGCCCTATCCCATTTTCTTCTGTGATCAATTGGATTCTAAAGACAACATAATAGATTTGTTTGCACCATGCATACCGTGCCAGCCATTTACAGCCAGGAAATAGTGCCTGAAACAGATATCCGATTCGGTATTCAAACATCAAGCCAAAATAAATAGGTACACCAAGATAACATTTATCAGAAAACTTTATTCATAAAATATTGGTTTAGACATCATTTTATCCATCTCATCTTTTATTTTAGTGTTACACGAAATAGTCAGAGACATGCGTGAATAAAGTTATTAATTACAGCGAAACTAACCCAATAGTTGCACTTGGGTATAACAAAAGTGCACTGTTTCAATGCGCAACAAAAAAATAAAACTCCACAGTAGACCATTATAGCATACAACGGACACACAACTGAAGTGTATTCAGGATCCTGTAGATCTTATTTAGTTACTGTACACACCTTAAAAGGACATTCTATGACTTCGTTAATTACTGTCATGGTTAAAACTGATCACCCTGAATCTTTTCTCGATATAATCTTGCTCCTGCTAACAGTAGGCTTAGTTCAAAGTAGTGCAGCATACGTAAAGTGTGTATCAGATACAAATTTTTCATTGCCTAATCAACTGACTGACTTTTCTGATCGAGACCTCTGACTGACCTTCATATTGTTCACTTTCGTGTCCTCATTGTCCCATATGAAACTGTAATACAGAATCTGTAGCCTATCAATTTAATAAGCATTCAATAATTGTCTCAAAAGCATAGAGCAGATTAATGCACAGTTTGTCCACACTTTGATAAGCAAAAGGGTGCATTTTCAGTACTGTGGACATCATAAATTCAGTTATCAGCTATAATATTCGGCTGAATGCAACTTTGACATTTAGTGGAGTGTTTCGTGAATTAAATTATTTTACTCTCCACCCTAGAATTCATGAAACTACACAGACCAACGCAAAAGCAGCATTTCGCAATTTTTAGATAGTCAAGGCATGCTCACATTTTTGTTGAAAGTTTACAGAATACTCTAAATTTTCTCTGTGTTTTTACATAACAGAAAGGTTGTGCACATGTTTCAAACTGACTAGAGGCTCTCTAGGCAGGATATCGATAACTTAGTAGTTAGAAGTATGCAGTTACTCATAAGAATGTAAAATAAATGGAGGGGAATGTTAACGGCGAATATCCCAAAGGGACACCATTATCTGTTGTCATCTGAATGTAAAAATTTCCATAAACGCTCACATGTGTTTGAGTTAAAGGATTTTGTAATATGTCTTTTCGCGACATTTCTTTCAGTTACATATCGCTGTAAGTTTTCTAGATCGATAGTGTCTGACGGAATGGTAAATGTTAGCTACCAGTATGCATTTATTCTACAATCTGCTAGAGTAAAATCTGGTCTATGAGCTATAAGCTATTCATGGGTTGAGTGTTAACAAGATACTTCTAGGTACCAGATATCAATCAAGTTCAGATTAGTCAACCCAACTTCTCTGTGGTTGGAGAAGCTCTTTCTTTCTTTTTTGTAAACTTATATCGAAGATAATAGGGTTTAGGGAGGTGATTATCAAATATTGGGTCACGGGTTTGAGCCCCGCTCCACCTACCAAGGTTTGGACAGCCAGGTAGTATCACTAGCCCTCACACAATAGACGTGGCTCATTGTCTACAGCACAGATGTGCACAAGGTGACTGAGTTGTGTCGCGACACTGAAGATTTAGCACAATAATTGTTGGCTTCTGAATAATACCATATATATCGTAACCAGAAATTCATAACTGCCATTCTTAAAATCTTCTCAAGAAAAATCTCCAGGCTTTGCTACTTGGTTTACTTCAAGCTTGAAATAGTCTTTTCTGCTTGAGTGAGGGACGATGAGCCAACTACGCGTTCCACTCAAACTGAAGTTATATGGTAACGTAATTGAGGCGTGACTGTCAATTACTTGAATGGTCTTTAAGAGTCTTCTGGAAGGTCAAAGCCATCTGCCCTAAAACGTTATCAAATACCTGGATTTTGCATTGACTTATAAAAACCAATGTCTTTCGGAGTTAGTTCCTTTGACAAGCTCAAAAGACTAGTGTTATCAATATTACAAGTTTCCAAACTAAAGCGTCTTCGTAGCATTGTTCACAAATGATGAAATCACCATGTGGGCCATTTCGAGGTTAGGCAAAAGGGTACTAGGAGAGATAGGTAAGTCAATCGATGAGGTTGTGAACCTTTGCCGATTGAAGTGACTTGGACATGTGTTGCGCATAACGAACCTCCGCCTACCACAACGTGCAATGTTAGTCAAAGTAATGTTGGATTATAAGCAGACTCATAGTGAACCACACCAAGAAGTGGCATCAGTACTGTGAGGTTTGTTGTCAGCGTCGAAGATGGTGTAAGTTGGCAAATGACAAACAGGTCTTTAGTATACAAGCGGAGATTTCATCAGACACCATAACATCCAAACTCGAGCAACTTCTCAAGTCAGTGAAGTGGTCAACAAGTTCCACAACTTCACTTCATATATGTAAACTAGGAATTGATTTATGGTAATCTAGGAACACTGTCTTACATTTGAAAGGTACAAAACGCATGTCAAATTAAAAAAGACTGACTAGCTGCAATTCAAAGAGAAAGGTTAGTCCTATTGAAAACTAAATACCCCCTATTAAAGACTGAAATTTCACAGGTGGTTCTCGTAGGAGGCGATTTTAATGTGCAACTAGGTAGGTCCAGTTAGGTAAGGGTACTTAGGTGTCATTTTTGGAATCCCATTCAAACGAACTGATGATGGCGATTGACTGACTAGACTATGTTCCGACAACTACCTATTTCTGGCCAGGAGGAATTTTAGATATAAAGGGATAAACAGATCAACGTAGAACCTGGGACAGAAGTGAATCGGTTTGAGTTGCATCATTTAACAGCAGCATGCAAGGAAGAAACGCATAGAAAAGACGATATTAAAGCAGACCAAGGTTTATGAATAGATGCGATAAAAAGAAAGGCAAACGAAATCTCTAAGACCTTAAAATATGCAAAGTGTGCATATACCTGCACTACTGTGATCGATTTCCAACTCACCGTTAAAGAAAAATAACCTGTGTGGCAATCAGTTGTCGCCAGTGTAAGATAACCGCTTTTTATGAAACGTGATTAAAGTGATCACTCGCATGTCTACACATAAATGAACGTACAGAAACTACAGCAACAATACCATCTCGAGGGCAGTTTGATGATGAGAATACTAAGCCTGCTTTGACGAAGAACTAAACTGACAGCTATCAGAACAAAACAACAATCACTTCGAAGGAGATTAGCGTCACCTTCTACGTGCTGTAAAAGAGCGTTGAAGACCGTTACTGGCCATCAGAAAGAGGTAGGAGAGAACCAGTGAATCTCAGTAGCTTCCTATGAATTGTTGGACGCATGTTACCACATTCATGGAGGCTCCAAGCACAGTAAGGAGCATGATCATCAATGTTTATGCATGACCAGGCATTACCACGTAAGGGTCCAAGTTCTCACACCTCATATCAGCACATCAAGTAACAAATGGATACGATGACAGAAAGAAAAATGGGCCAGAAGCAGCAGAAAGTAGTAAAGGAAAGAAAAAAATGCTGAATACATTATAGCATTTAAATTAAGTGTAAATACATCTACGCTACTGACATCGATTTTGAGCGATATTACCTAGAGTCTCCAACTTCCATGTTAGATTTGCTTATTTGATATGTAGCAAGTAGTGATATAACATTGTTTATTTGGTGACGTTTTGAGCATAAATTATCGCTCATAATCATATCAATGTGATATGATTATGGGCAATAATTAATGCTCGAAGCGTCGCCAAGTAAATAACACTATATCACTGTGTGCTATATTTAAACAAATCTAATATGTAATTACATCCTATCGCAGTGCCCAAGTTTTACACTTAGATTAGTAGAGTCTTCAACCACTGGTTTCTGTTATCACGTGGACCTCAAGCAGCTGGTCTGGATCGTCTTACATAATTCAGACCAAAAGTCAAAAACCTCATGCACTGATGCCATGTTTTAGTTTGAACACCCTGAGCCTTTTCCCAGTCTGAATCTACTTCAGCTAACATTGTGTTATGGGGCAGATGGTGACTAGGAATGCGTAACACATGCCCCAGACATTTGAGTCGATGAAGGTTCACAATTAGATAAACTGACTTTCCTCTCCTTTCTAAAACTCTACACCTGGCTTCTGCTTCGCTGACAGGCAACGCCACGACACGACCTATGCTACGAAGGTAACAGTGGTAAAACACCAGAAACCTCATGTCTTCTACCTTTGGTGGTTGTGTTTCACAGTCATATGACAGAACAGAGCGAACTGCAGCACAGTACAATTAGTCCTTAGTAGACAATCGGATATTGTGGCGGCGTCACAGATGGCTTAGGTTGGCAAAAACAAATAGAGCCATCTGTATCCAACCAACCAAAACCTACGACTGACTCGACGTCCCGAGTAAGTTTTCAACGCCCTCAACCACTTCACTCCCTATTGTTAGCTGGAGCATCTTTGAAGACGTCTTGGAGCAACTATTTGCATTTGGGTGGTGAGAAACCCATTTCAAACATTCTAAAATTGTCACTCAAGGTATCCAGAAGACTCTGCCTTTTGTCAGACTCTTCATCTAACAGGACTATGTCATCTTTGTATTTTAGATCCACCAAGGATTCTCCTATGATTAGATCTATCCCTCTGAAGTCAGATGACGAGAGGGAGACCTTGAAAAGAACGTCTATGATAAAATTGAATAGGAATGAAGAAAGTTGGTATCCTTGACGGAAACCACTCGATGTACACAATTCACCTGAAAACTCACCATAGGTTCTAAAATGCCCACCGGTGTTCAGGTAAAGAGCCTTTAACAGAGTGGTGCACTCACTCGGTACTTCTTCCAGTGAGAATAGTTCCTATAAGACCTGTCGATTGACATAGTCAAATACCACGTTCAGGTAAAGAAATGCAGCTAGCGTCGGGTGCCAGTACGAGTGCCCGTGTTCCATAACCTGGTAGAGTGTGAATATCTGATCGGTGCATTCACGGGAAGGTCTGAAATCCACATTGGCTTTCT